CAAATCGATCACGAGGTATGCGTGATCTCGTTGATCACAAGAATATAATGAGAGGAGGCCATTTTGGATGTTTCGGGTCAGTCTTGCCCGTGGAAGTGTTACCACGTCGCGAGAATGGAAAATAAAGAAGAAGAATTTTAGCTACGAGCATTGTGTTATCTATCAATGGTAGCAGAGCGTGTGGAGAAATATGGCACAGAAATTGTTGTTACCGCCCTCGCTGGACCAGGATAGTATCTATGATAGTATCTAAGGTGTCGCCAGTATGCTGGAGTTCAAAGAAACTGAAACGAGTTGTGCGCAGTACTCTTGCAGCAGAGACATTAGCAATGGCAGATGCAATTGATACAGCAATATATATGTCAACATTGTACGCTGAAATTGTTTCCGGAAAAGGTGAGCAATCAGAAATGTTGTCGATTCTGTGTTTGACAGACTGTATGTCAGTATGGGAAGCTGTTCATTCCAATACATCTGTGACCGAGAAGAGGTTAAGAGTGGAGATAGCTGGCATCAAGGAACTTCAAGATGAGGGATGGTTCAGATTAAATGGGTGAATCAATCTGAACAGTTGGCTGACTGCATGACAAAGAAAGGAGCTTCACCAGTTCGGCTTTTGCAAGCTCTACAAGAAAGCTATATTAATATAGTGACATAAGGCTGTGAAGAAACTGTGAAAGTGAAGAGACTACAGTGTTGTGATATAGTGACTGTAAAATAACAATATATATATCACTGAAGAGAATCTTGTCATGGTAAAAGACAGATGTAATGAGAACTGTGACTGTGGATGTCTATACCAAGATGAGGACTTTTATCATGTGTATTTTAAAACAAAACAAAATGACAAAAATGTGTTTTGAGCAGTTTTAATATATTTCAAATTTTTATATAAAAAAAAATAGTTGAGATTGTAAATAGTCTCGTCTCGTCGATCACGAGTATCGTGATCTCGTTGATCACTTAGAATATCTGAGGAGGAGGCCATTTTGGATGTTTCGGTCAGTCGCCGTGGAAGTGTTACCACGCATGCGAGAATGGAAAATAAAGAAGAAGAATTTTAGCTACGAGCATTGTGTTATCTATCACTGCCTGTTTCCATCCCCAAATCTCACAACCATAATGCAAAACAGGTACAACACACTCATCAAATAATTCTAACGCTACTTTCACATTTATCTTATTGGTCCTAACTTCTCTGAGTAAAGCATTACACGCCTTCAGGCCCCTATCCGATAATATGTTAATAGCTGGCGACAAGTTTCCATTAGATTTAAATAATAAACCTAAATAATTAAATTCAGCAACACTTTCAAGGGGTACATTACCATAATAGAAAACCTGCTTTGATAAAATATATGACCTTTGGGAAGTAACTACTTTAGTCATCGATATTTACAGATAGGCCCCAAATATTGCAATATTCTAATAAACTATTAAGTTGAGACTGTAAACCAGTTGCAGATTTACTCAGGAGAACCATATCATCTGCGAAAAGAAGTAAAACCAGCATTATATCGTGTATATCGATACCAGAAGTAACATTTTCCTGTAACTTTAATTCAAGATCTTCTATGAATAAGGAAAACAATAATGGAGAGAAATTTCCCCGATACCTAACTTGGTTAATTTAAGCCACAGACGTAGACCAGTATCATATCTTCTGGTAATCAATAAAAGCACAAAATAGTTTTGCTTTTACCCCGCTTTTAGCAATATTCCAACAATATCACCGCGGGGGATACCAGAAATGGGCTTCACACATTGTACCCATGTTGGGACTCAAACCCGGGCCTTCAACGTGACGAGCAAATGCTTTAACCACTAGGCTACCCCACCGCCCCTAAATGAATCAGTGAAACACTATTGACAATGTGTCTGAGAACACATTTCATCTTATTTAATAAACGTTAGTAGGAAGTTTAAGTTTATTAGAGGCATTACATAGCATTTTGCTGAAACTGAAATAATAATTCAACTTTTATTTTTATTTTTCACATTACAAATTTTGAATTATTTTATTTTAATTTAATCATGTTCAGGAATATGAAGTATATCAGCAAGGGTAGAATGAAAAACATTTTACTTGGTCTGACAATGGTTTTATCAGCACATATTGTCATTGATCTAGCAGTAGGAAGATTTGAACAAACAACTAATTAATACAAAGCTGGCTTATAAGCCAGTTCAACATCTTCTGGTTATGATAACCAGAAATTGCTGAATTGCTGATTAGTTTTAAAAATTTGAAAAAATTAAACTATATTGAACCAGCTTTACGGATAGCAACTACTTTTAGTTTGATAGAGCTATACATGTATTTCAATAATGTTATCCATGAAGTCTGTTCAATATTGTATGTCCCAATTTCTAAAATGACACCCAAAGGACATTGAACTAGTCTGTCTAGTCTAGGCTTGGTTATTTCCATGCTGCTGTCAGAGATACAGAAAACTGCATAGTGTGTTGTGTAAATAAAACAAAAAATATAACACATTCTGAAATAGCTACTACAGAAACAGAAACGCCCAAAGTCCTTGAGTACCTGAGAGCAAATTCGCTTTTGACGACTGGCAGACGCCATTCTGAAAGAGGTCCTTCGAACACAACCTTCTTATCCATGGCTAAATGGAGCGATAGTCAGAGAAATACACCGTCCTAGATCCTGAAAATCATTTCATATTAAACTCCATCAGAAGCAGACGCATCCGTCATGAACAGCACAAATGATTCTGTTTGCAATGTTTGCAGTCAGGCACAGACAAGGAATCCGCAGTGTGCATAATTCCTTCTTAACAACATTTGTTAGAAGCATATAACCGGGACCTATTCAGATATATTTGTCCAACTTTCCATATTGTCCAGCCAGTATTTATAGTACCGCCATACCACCATTTATGTCCCAGCTCATACAACTTGGCAGACTATCAATCCTTTACAAATCACTCCATTCATCTTTTATGTGTTTCTTGCAATTTCTATGTTAATCAGACATTCTCTACATAAAAGGTCTCTTCATTTTCACTGAGTTGTATAAAAGAATGACCAAACTTCAAAGCTGTTATTTGTCAAAAGCCAAAATCCCTAATTTTCTTAGTTTCAAAGAAATGTTTTCCTGAATCACAATATGTTGCATGTGGTTTGACAATGTTTGACATGAATTCAGTGAGAAACCTGTCTCATGTCTTCATTCCATATAGCAAGAATTACTATTAGTTTATGAGACCCTGAAAGTACAACAGCCGTTTTATCTTACTGACATTTCAGGTGAAATTAAATATCTGAATATTTTAATCAAATTACTCTGTTTTGACTGAGACCATGAATTATGGTAGATATCAGCATTTCAAATACTAAATTTATTTAAACACAATTACCATTTTTATAAATATGTAAAATATAACTATTTATTTTGACAGATATGCAACATATTCTATAGTCAACATTATAACTCCATTGTCATGTCTGTTTATTACTACACCTTCTGTTTATCAACTACACTTTGACACAGTTCTGTTTATTATGGTACTACACCTTGACAGTAATTGCGAAAATTGTCAGATCTGTCTACAGAATTGAGGGAAATAGTCACTTCTACACTCAACAATAAATTGAACATAAAAAAATGTATTTATTCATGAAATGTCTATAAAAATTCATGAGAATTCCTTTCACAAAGCATCAGGTGTCCAGAATCTTGTTCCAGAGTTTTGTGATTTTGAAAATTTGCCTGACTAATGAACAGCCATGGTGAAATTTGATGATTCTCCATGAAGTGTGTACATGACTTAGTAGATAGTGAATAGTTCAGTCTTAGCCTAATGACCAACTACTATCATGAAGTGGCTTTGTCAAACATTTGCTACCTTCTAAAGTATTTTATGATGGATAATTTCCCTTTGTCCTGGTAGAGAAGTTATGTATGAGCTTGTGTTAAAGGCATAAACACTGAATATATAATAATTTCTGTTCAATTGGAACCATTTTGTTTTTTGAAAAATAACCTCAGAACACAGATATACCAGTGCATGAGAGTAGCATATCATATCTCATAAACTTACCGTAAATTAGGGAAAATATATTTTAAATATTATCAAATAACTGTAAATGATAAACATGAACATTTCCTAAATTCCATTTCCTAATTTTAAAGTAAATCCTTCAAACATTTTAATTACATCATTTTGAAAAAAAAAATTCTTTTTAGATTTTCAAATGTGATAGGACATTTGCTAACATAACAATAAGTACATTGTGATAATATTTTGTGTGTGACAGGTGGAGAAATGAAAATGCTGAAATAGACCAAACAGCTTTGCATTTCCTAATGTACCTTAATTTTAATTAACATCTTTTCCTCATTTAGGCGTGTGAAAACAACTTAACAATAAAACTCTAAACATGGATCAGTCCATTGGCAACCTGTACTGCTCATTTTACTGGGATTGGTTTTTTTTGGCCATTGTAATTGCTTACTTGATTTGAGTGAAAATAATTCGCTGAATTAATACCAGGGGTGAAAATAACCCATTGCCCGACGTCCGAGTCCAGTGCTTTTTTCTGTCGGGCAAGCAAACTTGTATATCACGCTGTACCGGTGTCCAGTTGACTTTCCAATGTTAATAATGTTGTTTATTTAAACAATTAACAAGAAACCGGCCGGTATAGTGGAAAAATGATCAGGGCAAGTGATTTTACATGTGTCACTGTACCATAGTACACTAGCAATTTTAAAGTTATTTCCACCCCTGAATACATGCATGAGAAGATTATAGTGGATTATTGAAAATGTTAAATTTCAAGTCAAGGAGTTTCTTCCAACACTACATTATTGTGTTTGAAAGTAACCATTTGCCTCAAGGCTGAAAGGCATACCCTGTGTGTATGGTCTCTCTGATATAAGGGACCATTAATAATTTATGGCTAGGGAGGTGATGATGATTTTTATGGAGAAGCCATTAATTATGAACAGTCCCTAATCAGGTCAGGCCTTAACTCACCTTGACTCCAAATTCCTGATTTCCGCAGTCACATCTGTGTATGCACTGATACTTGCTGGAGTGTTGAGTTTTGCACGGGACAGCGGGGCATCAGTCTCACATCCACTAGTGACAGGCCGTCTTCCATGTTCAGCAATTTCCACAGTTGTCTCCCCATCCTCAATACAAGATGGCTGAGATAGCTCCTCAGCCTCATCTATATTAGACAAGGCTGACCCAATTCGACTTTTACGAGTGGAAGTTGCAGATTTACTTCCTTTTCTGAGCATACTGTCTACCAGTTTTTCCCCCAGAATTTCTGGTTCCAGTTCAATGTCAAGGTCAGCCACTGCCTCATCGAGGTCAGATTCATCCTCATACACCCCAAGGTCACGTTCTTCCACACTCAACTCCGCACTGCCCTCTGATTGGTCTTTGATAGTTGACACATCTGACAGTCTGGCAGACGTTTCCTCATAAATCTGTGATTTCATTATATCCTTGTCACTGTCACCTGGTCTGTTCTCATCATCAGCTAGCTCATCTTCAGTTTCATTCATGTTGGCTGATTCTGATTGGTCAATATCCTGAATATTGGAATTTGATTGGCTTATCACATTCATGTCTGGAGTTTGAGAATCTGATCTGTTTGCAGTAGTCTTTTCAGAACCATTTGGAATCATTACTTCATCCAAATCTCTCTTATAGTCACCTTCATTTATGACCTTGACCTCAAGTTCATCCTCATCCATGTTCATCGTCTCATCCATTGTCCCTGTCACAAATAAAATCAAATTTAGTAAGAATGTTCAAAATTAGTATATTCAAAATTTACAATCAACACAAACCAGACCAAATATTATTTTAGTGCACGCCATTACAAACCATATACGTCTGTTATAGGAATAAATGTTTTATCATCTGCTTACGAACAACATGCAGTGCTCCAGTACGCCACCAGGGGGTGCTGTCATGACAAAGTACTCTGTCAACTATCGTAGTATTCAGATTATACGATCGCGTATATCACACAAGGGTCATACATCTCATCCTTTCCCCTGTCTTGGGGGGATTACATCCATTATACACGAACCTAGACACCATGTTATGTGAATCTACCATGGCAAATCAATATGCAGTGTTAAGCATACATCTGAAGTCCCTCTCTTGAATATTACTCAAGTTCACCCACCCATTAGGCCTTTTTTTTATTACTTGGTTTACACATCCGCCGACTTGAAATGTGAAGAAAGTGGGAAAAAATACAATTGTTTTTACATTGTTTTTTTGCCATTATATGCTGCCAGCCTAATATACAAAGAAAGTGAAAAACAAAACAGAAAAAGAAAGTTATACTTTTCAAATATTCAAAATAGAAAAAAGAAAACATAGCTCATAAAACCACGATATACTTTTCAAATATTCCTGAAACTATTCCTATATTTCCCTACAAAATAAAATCATATAAATCGTCAGAAAAAAGGCTCATAAAACCACGGATATACTTAAGCGTACATTTCTTTTATATCATATGAATTTTTCATAACCAATTAGCTTGAGTAAGGGCATATTAAAAATTTTTTGTATCTATAACAATATTGCCCTTATTAGCTTGTTTGGGTGTAGGTTTAGTGGAAATAAGTAAAAGCTGATATTGTTGGCACCACAAGATTTTGAGCAATGTTTTAAGTACCAATAACATGTCTATATAATTACTTGTTAATTTGTTCAATCTTTAAGAGGTTTGCATAGGCTTTTGACAAAATACAATGCATAAAATTAAATAATTATCAAACACGTAAATAGGTACTTTAGGTTTAAGTGTAGTTCAATCTGTTCATTTTTCCTATCAAGGTGAAGCTGTGAGATGCAAAGGTTAATTGTATTATATTTCATCACTGTTGTTTTTGCAATCTGTCAAATCTGCAACACAACATATATGAAGTCTAATAAACATCTATGTTGGTTATTAGAATCTAATGAGGGTATAGGAAGAAATTTTAAAAGAACCCATTGATTTTTACTATTCATTTTTTAATATGGCATATCGTTTATTAACTCTCTATCCATAATAATAGAGTGTGTGGCCTTCAGTTTATTTCAATTTTCTACATGAGGTCTCAATGTATTTGATTTACCTTTTCTCAAATTAACGGTAATATTCTCACCTGTAGGAATTTCAACAGATATGAAGTCCCCAGTAGTTATTATAAAATACAAATGCAGAACAGAAACACACTTGTTCTGTTGAAAATTACAAGGAAATGTTTCGCTTTTCATTGAGCAAGTTAAAAAAGGATTGTTCACTGGTAAAAATTGTTTTGCCCTGGTCTGATCACCCTTGTTGGACACACAGCATATGGTGATTACATAAGCAGTCCACTGACCCAATTGTATCCTATTGACCGACCATATCCTCAAGAGATTAAGGTATCAGGGGATTATCAACATTATCCCTGACACCTGCCTATGCTTGGGCCGTGGGGAAGTATTATGGCTGACACTTCCTACAGTGTAGGTACAATACAATATGCTACAGGGAGGTGTTACACCAGGGGAAATGCACCGATCAGCATGTTTGTTTGTTTGCTTTTTAACGGTGCACTCAGCAATATTCCTGCTGTATGGTGGCAGATTGTAAATAACTGAGTCTGGAACAGACAATCCAGCGATCAACATCATGAGCATTGATCTATGCAATTGGGATACGATGACATATGTCAATCAGGTCCCTTGAGTCTGACCACCTGATCCCGTTAGTCACCCTTAGATGACCAATTCTAACCTGGATCCACTGACACTCAGTAACAGTTACAGTGTTAGTTCTAGGTGATACATTTTTGCTAAAAGTTCAAACAAGGACAATTGAAAAGAAACCTTAAAATTTGGTCTGAAAGGTACTATAATGGCCAATCTGCATTCATAGCAAGCTTCATTCTGATAATTAAAAACCTGCTTCTGCTGTGAATGTTAGAGATGTCATTAAATGTTTTCAAATGTGAGACAGGGGAGATGGGATATTGTAAAAAGGAAACATAAGTTTGGGGACACAATAACAATCCACTTACAATGGCCAACCAGGAAATGCTAGAACATTTGCATAAACTGGTGCTATTTTTCACATGTTTTTGCCTCAGTATAACTTGTAAGGCATTGTGTGCATTGGATATAGGAGTTGTTGATTGATGCATTGTATCATGAGCTTCATATCACGATACAATACTATATTGCAGTATCGTTACAACACCACTGAATATAGTGAGTGAGTAATTTGGGTTTTATGCCACCTTCAGCAATATTCCATCAATGTCACCAGGAGTGGGCTTCACACATTGGCCTAGGTGGGGTATTGAACCCAGGCTTTCAGCAGGAGACGAGCTGGCACTTTAACCACTGGGCTACCCCACCACCCCTTACTGAATGAAAGCTCCATGTCAATGATGTAGTATATCCAGCAGCTGATGCTCACCCTGTTACACGGGGCGGTGGGGTAACCTACCCTGTTACACGGGCGGTGGGTAACCTAGTGGCTCACCCTGTTACACGCCAAAGTGGCTCACCCTGCTCCTAGTGTCATGCCAAAGACCTGGGTTTGATTCCCCACATGGGTACAATGTGTGAAGCCCATTTCTGGTGTCACCCTAACCTAGTGGCTCATATTGCTGGAATATTGCTAAAAGCGGCGTAAAACCATACTCACTCATCCCATAGACTAACAACTAGAAGCTGAGGAAATCTAGACTTGCCACATTTTCTAGACTTGCGTGGGCTTTCTTGGATATATTTGCTTCAGGGTCTGTACGACAGACTAACTCATCCCATTACACACAGACATATGTCAAAGACAAGAAACCAACCCCACCTGCAAGGTATCCCCCATACCACTCAATGTATTTTTGCATCCAGTTCAAAAACTCTTGAGCCACATCAATTTGTCTGTCTCCCATACCCTAAAAAATACATTAAATTTAGTTTACCTCAAATCTAGAATGATGTGGCAAGTCTAGATTGCCACAGCTAGCAATTAACTGCTCTGGTTATTTTGATGCATTTTGTCCAGGTATATATCTTTTTATATCTGTAATTCTGGGACTAAATATCAGTCTGCATATTAGTGTTCACAGGTGGTACAAGTTAATAATGGAATTTCACATACTTAGTAGGGGTGGGTATTGAAGAGAATTTTCATATTGCGATATGTATTGCAATATATTGCAAGAAGTTTTTTATAAAAAAACTACTTATAATCCAGTTCATGCTTGATTTATGAAGCACAACAAAATCACTATGCTTGATTAGGCTTTCATAAAAACTTTTAATCATAACAAAATAAAAGGTAAATAATGTTTGGCACAAATGAAACAAGAAAAGGAATAATTTAAAAAACAGAAATATCCAAGATTTCCGAGTGTTACGAAGTTTTCCGAATGCATGTCAAACTACTGTTTTTCGATCAGTGTATCGCAATACGTATCGTTTTCATGCCTGAACCGGTAAATACCAGTAAACCGGTTATATTGCGCAGCCCTAATACTTAGAATACATACCCAAGTGTGTATGTTGTAAACCTTGGCTAAATGTGCTTTCGGGGGTTTTTTCACGACAGATAAAATTCACAAGGGAAAATATATTCAACACTGCAATACTGGCATTGGCATACCAGATAAATATTTCATGGCATCCAGCTTACTACCCTAGAACATCCAGAATACCATGGCAAGGCTCTGCATCTCACGTACCAAAAGGGGATTAACATCCTCACAAGACTCACTATTGCAATGTCTAAGACTTGACTGGCTTACTAAGGCCAGTCTTACGAGCATAGTCTTCCTAAAGTTTAATACATGACATCGAGGCATGTATTACACTGTCTAGAACTTGACATATAATAAGGACAATAGCATATATTTTCTATACATGTATTTACAATGTATTTTGCTTCATATCTTGGCAATGTCTCTTATTATTTTCATGATTATCCTTGATCATAGATGGGATTCCCTAGGTAATTGTTGTAAGGAGAGTCACCAACAACAAAATAGGTGTGGGGCAAACTAAAGGAAGGGTAATGAAAATAAGAGACAATATTTATGGTCAAGATGTATATAGCCTTCATTTTATATTCACAATTAGCAAAGTTTGTGTTGAGTCATTAATGAAACGGTCATGTTCTTTGCAGTGAACTGTATGTCATTTCCCACGCAGTAGAGCGTGTAAAACCTAGAGGGTATTGCCATCGTTGCGGACTAATATCAGTATACGAACATGTCGTCAGTAAGTCATTTTAAGTCAGCGTTATTTACACACTACGATAACGACGCGAGACAAACTCCTTACAACTTGCCAACTTGTTATAAATGATCGAATTTACTCGATGCTATCGAACCTCGACAAAAGAGTCGCCACTGAGCTTTATATTCTTGGGTAACAAACTTTACCTCAGTTTGGGGGGATAGTGTTCCGTTCTGGCAAACTGTATGCTAGTTAATGGGCTGATAGCCCCCCTCCCTTGTCAATCACTGACAAGCTCGCACCTGTTTCGATCCCTCTCTTCACACCTGTCGCGGGCAGGTCGCGCCGTCTTTGAAACTACCTGCATGCAAACAATGCGCCTAGACCATGAATAACGGTACTTCGAATGACAATGCGTGGAAAGTTGTATACCCGCAAATAACTCACCGTGGCTGTCGTTAACCGCAGTTGTTTACTGTGGCGATATACCATGATGCAGTGCGAGTTTTTCCCGCCAAATTTCAAAGCGTTATGCCATATTTTATAGGTTGTTTTAGTTTATATTTTTTGTTCGTTCTGGGCTGGGTTTTTCTTAAAAGTTTGTTGTAGTTGTTTGCTAGTGTAAATGACATGCGTGTGAGTTGAAATCGATACGTTTTCAATGAGCCAGAAGCTAATTTTAGTCTTTCTAAGTAACGTACGTTACAACTGGATCAACTTTTACTTTTAAAATTATGTTTGTGCAATCGGTGAAAAAACACATTCATTCTAATATGCATACTTCATTTGTAATTGTTGAAGAAAACACAAACGTTCTGAACAATATTAATAAAGCATTCGATAAAATAAAATATATTGTAACATAATATATATGCACCCCCTTTCTCAAAATGCTGTATACGCCCTTGATCTAGACGATCGATGAAACAATACACTGTATACTGATACCTCAGACAGAATAATGATACATTCTGTAAATTATCTATAATACAGATCTTGCAGTGTTATTGATTTGATGCTATTTTACACCATTATTGCCGCATAATGTTAATTGAGAGAATCGGTCCTTCTGTGCCTCAGTTGAATTCGCGGACAATATATAACAGAATTTGACCATTGAAGATCCGGGTTAGAAGTGATCTTCAATAACCCAAGTGGCGACTAACTGGATCGGGTGGTCAGACTCGCTGACTTGGTTGACACATGTCATCGTATGTCAAATGTGTAGATCGATACTCATGCTGATGATCACTGGATTGTCTGATCCAGACTCGATTATTACAGACCACCGCCATATATAGCTGGAATATCGCTGAATGCTGCGTTAAAAAACAAACCTTTTAAGGGACCGTTCATAATTTATGGCTAGGGGGAGTGATGATGAATTTTATGGAGAAGCATGTACAATGTGAATGACCCACCCTAAAACTTATGTACAAAATAAGTGACCCCCTGCATGTCATGTACAAAATCAATGACACCCCTCCTCCCCTTCCCATATTTTCTAAGCGTAATATTAAACATGTTTTTATGTACAATATTGCTGCCCCGCACCTAGTTCATGTGTACAAAATTGCTTTTCTCCCTAGCTCCCCCAGCTCCCCAGAACAAAATGTGTGAAACAAACACACACATCCAATCATCATCACCCCCCTCCCCCCTAGCCATAAATTATGAACGGTCCCTAACCAATGAACAAAGTCACTGAGAAAGACTACCAGAACCATATGGTCGATTCCTATCACGGTCATAATCCTGATTGGGACCTATGAATATATTTCATAGTTGTTCAGATTCACTTTCATATATTCTAATTCAACTAGCTGCTCTAGGAAAAAGCAGTTAGATGCACTTTGGATAACAGCCTTAGTGCTAGGATCCATCAAGGAACCATCTTATCACAGATATTACTCGAGTCTTTGATTGATAGACTTAGAAGTGAGTTCGTAAACAGTCCGCTGAGAAAGCGGGCTTTAAATGTTCTTATTCCGACATGACATAATTGTATATATTTTATGAGTGTTTCATACCGACAAAATGAGTGAAAAGAGTGTGAAAGATGGGTTTGCCAAGAACTGACCTCAGTCAGTAACATGACATTAGTGCCACACCATGCTATAAATATAATCTGGACCAGACACTCCACTATATCATGAGTTAAGTCCCACTTAGCGGACAAAGTTCACCTGATCCATTTTGTCACCTCCAGGTATAGATGGCTGGGGACCCACCCTTGCATGGTACCATCAAGAGGCTATGGCATTATGAGTGAGTGAGTATGGTTATATGCTGCTTTTAGCAATATTCCAGCAATATCACAGGGGGGACACCAGAAATGGGCTTCACACATTGTACCCATGTAGGGAATCGAACCCGGTGAGAAAACTGAGAAAACGCTTTAACCACTAGGCTACCCCACCACTCCTGTGGCCTAATGAGGTTGAAGATTCTTGAAGATTCTTTAAGCGGTTATGACCCCAAACTGTGATGTTATATGATATACAGTATTCATTCAAATATTGTTCGGTATTGTTCACCTTTATTTTGATTTATGTATTTTTTGACAGAAATGACCGCCCATATTGTCATGGCAAAGGCTAATATGAGAAAATAACAGAAGCCATTTTTCATAACTCTCGGTCATGTTTATTCACATAAAACACCCACCTTAAACTGATTTGTAATGGTAGCCTACATAAGAAATAATGGGAATGGATTTCTTCTGATGGACGCCTCAAATAAATCCTCAAAATTCAATCATGACCTGTGTGTTATTCATGAACACCCCTGTGACACTTGTATAGGGACATTATGTCATTACATGGTAGCTATACCTGCCTTTATTACAAAGAATAATCAACTCCAAGTGATAGAGTAACTACGCCTTATGCCATACCTATGTTAGAGGTTTAGATGAGTGACCTGGATTAACAACTCTCTTCATGGCGAGAGATTCCAGTTCAGATCTCCCCATTGTAGTGTACAAACATGTAACTTTTATATCATTTTAAGTTCCTTTCATGGAGTTTTCTCATCTCTCACAGGTCCAACATGATATATCCACATAACAGACTGTACATCCAGAGCGAAGATCCATTTTTCCAAGATTGTTTAGTGCCGAAGAGTAAACCAATGTAATTTCATTTACACTTGATGCTGGTTTGTACCAAAGACCAGTTACCAGTAACCATGGTAACAGCATTTTCTTGATAGTTCTGGATAGTTCTATTAGAACATGGTATATTTAGATCTGTTACATAGTTTTCTCAGACAAAAATGTGTAAAATCGTATCAAACATTTCTTTTTCACATACAGTATCTTACATTACAATGTCAAAACCTAGGTTGAATACCGACATATATACAGAATTTTATTTTTTGTTATAGTTTTTTTATTTTGTTGCATTTTTCAACATTTTATACAAACAAATAACAGTGATATTCCAGTATACATGATGAACAATCAAATAGTTTTAGCAGAATAAATCATGACATGACGACCAGAACGTGTAGAAAGCATTGATATTACAACTAATTATTGATTGACGAACACTTTGTTAACATATAATATTCAAACAGTTTATGTTGAAAAACTTTAAAAGATGGCATCATGTTGTTAAACTTATTTCGAAAAATTAGTTCCTTGAAGAGAATTAAGATGATATTTATTGGATCATTGTTTTTATTTGGGTAACCAAGCATTACATGTTTCTTTTCAATTTTGAGTTTTATTTGTGCTTTAGCATGTAGCCAGAAATGTATATATCTCTCATCTCTAGTTCCTGGAAGTCTTTGAAATGATTAATGTCCATCCCACGGCACTTTTCAATGCGATGTCAAGTCTCATCTCACATTTCATGTGGTCCACACACAGAAAATCATCACCATGATGTCATTCTTGAAGTTGTGGGTGACACAAGGGAGATAATCCATCACAGATGCCTCCATACAGGTGATAAGCACCACAGTCTATCTCGGAGTGCTGGGTTAAGTACAGGCTGATGTGTACCTTACTGTCAATGTCACTTTAAGCATGTTAACATTACTCCTTCTGTTAGCTATTCAGAGTATTCCTTCAGTATCCACTACTTATCCAGCATTATTCTCATCTTTTCCTGAAACACAAAACAAATACACTTCAAGTTTCAGTTAAAATGAAGCAGTGAAATATCATTATAAAGACACATGTAAAATGTGTTTTATACTGTCAACATATTCTAATAACAGAAGAAATATTGATAAATTATTGCAGTTTAGGTCCTTAATTAACATTTTTTTAAAAGTACCTAGAAAATCTGTAATTCTTAAGCAAGAGAAACTGTAACATGTTTAAGAAATCTGAATTATATGAAACTTTTCAATTGATGATGTAAAAACTATTCAAATAATTGATGGTTTATAACACCATCACTATAGCATCGCAGCTGAGAGCGACTGAGTGAATGAGTTGAATTTATGCCACTTTCAGCTACATTCCAGCAAAATCACAGGCGGTTGACACCAGAAATGGGCTTCACACATTGTACCCATGTTGGGAATCAAACCAGGTCTGGCGTGACGAGCAAGCACTTTAACCACTAGGCTACCCCACTGCTCCCATCTGCAGCGTAAAGGCAACACTTCTGTTACTGACCTCTTCTTGGGCTTGCTTGGTTTGCTGGTGATTGAGGGTGGTGACAGGATGTCAGATACAGGGATGGAGCCAGGGTCGTTGTCATCACTCAGCTGGTCCGTTGTAGTCACAGATACACTCCCCACTTCATCGTACCCATCCTCCGTCTTCACTCTGACATACAAGCATACAGTCAGTGAATGTTGACATCACTATTGTTATATCACAGTGAAATGTAATCAGCTTGGTTAATACCATTCTCTTCCCACAGAGGTTACTTGTCATATCTTTCTCTGTTCTAATACAGCCCTTTCATGGTGCGAGTGTTCAGGATTCATTATTGGTTGCAATTAGATTTAGTTGTGCAATCACCGACGTTGTTTGAAAAGTGATCATTCGCAAAGCCTCGGTAATTTCCGTATGCTTCGGGAAAACTAGAACCTCTTCCCTTGCGCGATGCGCAAACGTGTCTTATAGACAGAACTCAATCAAGTAATGGCGGATCAATGGCGTCTCCATCGCCCTCATGATAACGGACAAGTTAGCCATTAAATGTCTTGTGTGTCACATCAACTGAAGTCCCCGGCAGAGGAGGGATATTTGTGGCCCCACCTTTGCTTGTATTAGTCAAGTTGGATCTAAGTCGATGAAAAACGTGTTCTGATTGGATAGAAAGAAGGGAGATAATTCGTCTGGCGACTTTTTGCCCCTAGGAGATTTACAAGAACTGGGAAATATGGCCGTATTAGAACAGATGTTCGCAGGAAGATATGACAAGTAACCTCTGTGGGAAGATAATGGGTTAATACTTGGTCCTACTTATTTGTTTGATCAGAACTTGAAAGTGTAAGAAAGAAGAAAGGCCTGATCTAAGCAAATGGAAACATGACAGATTATTTAATTTCATGCCATTGCCAATATTTAAAAGTTTTCTGAAACTTTAAATATGGCATTTGCAGTGGACAAAAAGGACCCTTAACCTATCTCCTCCTTTGCTAATAGACATGATGGAAAATACCAAGCTAAGAGAATTCACTATTTCACATTTTAATATTTGGACCAATGGTGTGAATCAGACAATACAAAGGAATTTCCTTACTTAGGATCATTAGGATCTGATTTGCCTGCCATGGCCTGCGACCACTTGGACTCCACCTCTGTCGTCAGCCCCTCCGCCGTCTCCTGCTCCACAGTTATAGCAAACCCAGCTGCAAAACCTACACACAATATACAGCATTGTTAATAATGTAATAATGGAAGCTTTCTCCATCAACGATTAACAAACAATGAAATCATTCAGAATGACATAAAGAACTGGTTGTTTCAGTCAAACTGAAGTGGACTCTTGAAGATACGGGTTAGAATTGATCTTCAGCAAGCCATGCTTGTGGCAAGAGGCGACAAACAGGATCGGTTGGTCAGGCTTGCTGACTTGGTTGACAAATGTCATCGGTTCCCAATTGTGTAGATTGATGTTCATGCTGTTGATCACTGGATTGTCTGGTCCAAACTTGATTATTTACAGACTGCCGCCAACTAGCTGATCAGGGGTGGAAATAACCCATTGCCCGACGTCCGAGTCCAGTGTTTTTTTTCTCTCGGGCAAGCAAATTTGAATATCGCACTGTACCGTTGTCCAGTTGACTTTCCAATGTTAATTATGTTGTTTATTTTAAAAATTCAACAAGAAAACACCTGGTATAGTGGACAAATTATCAGGGCAAGTGATTTTACATGTGCCACTGTTCCGGAGTACACTAGCAATTTTAAAATAATTTCCACCTCTGCTGATATTGCTGTATGCGTCATTAAACGACAACACCAAACCAGCATGTTGTGACCTCAGTGACCTTAGCGACCCTGCCCCGACATTGGCCAGTACCTTCCAGCTGCAGCAGCTGTTCAGCTTCGTTCACCTCGTCATTCTCATCCAGTGTGGGAAACTGGATTTCTGCACATGGTTCATCCTTTATTCTGGGAAATAGATAGCATATATAACTTAATGAATGCAAAGGGAGATAACACAGCGGAACTTTGGACTGCTTGTCCACCCTTGCCTTTTTTCTTTCATTATTTTACATATTGTGTACATGGAATGGGAGGATGGCCAATGAACATTTAAGATTCAAGGGTGGAAGAAGAGAGAAGCAATGGGGCGAGGGTGTCATTAATTTTGTACATGACATGCAGGGGGGGTGGGGGGTGGTCAGTTACTTTGCACATAAATTTTAGTGGGGGTGTCATTCACAATGTACATGCTTCTCCATAAAAATCATCATCAACTCACACGCAAGCACACACACAAAGCCATAAATTATGACTGACTGACTGACTGAGTTTGGTTTTACACCGCTTTTAGCAATATTCCAGCAACATCACGGCGGGAGACACCAGAAATGGGCTTCACACATTGCACCCATGTGGGGATTCGAACCCGGGTCTTCGGCATGACGAGCCAACGCTTTAACCACTAGGCTACCCTACCGCCCCCATAATATATGAACAGTCCCTTATACATGACAACATACGGTACCTAATGACGTGGAAGGTATCAGGCTGAGAATCCTTGGACTTTTGTTTGAGTTTTTCATATTCCGCCAACAGGTGGCGACACGTGTCCTGCATGTTCTGGTGGTGTGCAATGACCCGCGTCTGGTAGAAGTCGTGTAGTGAAGTCACGCTGCCGATGCTCATCTCATGGAACACCTGCTCCACTATATCCTGTAATTTTGGAGGACCAAAACAGATGTAATTGGTGTTTACGGATTAACAGTTAATGTGGTAAACAGATCATTGAGATGGTCTTAGGGCCTAAAAAAGAAATGTTGTGGTTCCGATTACTAGAGGTGTAATCGTTGTAATCGGAACCACAACAGTTTTTTGTTTTGGCCTAATGCCTGAATACAGCTGAATCAATAAGTTTCTCCACATGGAATGCCATGACTGGTTGAGTTCAACTGTGTCTGCAACTGGTACTTACAGGAAATCCCCCATACTGGATGAATGCAGCTGTACCTGCAGCTGATACTTACAGGAAATCCCCCATACTGGATGAATGCAGCTGTACCTGCAGCTGATACTTACAGGTAATCCCCCACACTGACTGAATGCAGCTGTTACTTAAAGGGAATCCCCCATACTGGTTAGTACAGCTGTACCTGCAGCTGATACTTACAGGAAATCCCCCATACTGGATGAATGCAGCTGTACCTGCAGCTGGTACTTACAGGGAATCCCCCATACAGCTGTACCTGCAGCAGGAAATCCCCCATACTGATGAATACAGCTGTACCTAGCTGACTTACAGGTAATCCCCACACTGACTGAATGCAGCTGCAGCTGATACAGCTGTACCTGCAGCTGATACTTACAGGAAATCCCCCATACTGGATGAATGCAGCTGTACCTGCAGCTGGTACTTACAGGGAATCCCCCATACTGGTTAGTACAGCTGTACCTGCAGCTGATACTTACAGGAAATCCCCCATACTGGATGAATGCAGCTGTACCTGCAGCTGATACTTACAGGAAATCCCCCATACTGGATGAATGCAGCTGTACCTGCAGCTGCTTACAGGTAATCCCCCACACCGACTGAATGCAGGTTACTTAAAGGGAATCCCCATACTGGTTATACTGTACCTGTATGAATGCAGGAAATCCCCATACTGATGAATAGCTGTACCCTGCAGCTGATACTTCTCAGGAACTGACTCCCCCATACTGGATGAATAGGCTGTACCTAGTGGTTAGTACAGCTGTACCTGCAGCTGGTACCTTACAGGAATCCCCATACTGGATGAATGCAGCTGTACCTGCATCCCCAGGGTAACAGGAATCCCCATACTGGATGAATGCAGCTGTACCTGCAGCTGGTACTTACAGGAAATCCCCCATACTGGATGAATGCAGCTGTACCTGCAGCTGGTACTTAAGGAATCCCCATACTGGTTGAATGCAGCTGTACCTGCAGCTGGTACTTACAGGAAATCCCCCATACTGGATGAATGCAGCTGTACCTGCAGCTGGTACTTACAGGAAATCCCCCATACTGGTTGAGTGCAGCTGTGTCTGCTGCTACACGCAGGTGTTTCGTCATCTGCAGGTAATACTCGTGGAGAATGTCTGTCAACGTCTCCAACACAGACTCAGGACAGGCTGAAAACATTCAATTTCAAGAAGATTATCCACTGATTTCATTTAATTCCATGCACAAGTTACATATCAGTCAGTACTCCTCAAATTCCCACAGATGTTTAAATGCCATATTATTTATCCAGCTAAAGATGGCCAACATAATTACTTGCTTTCATCCCCAATGAAGGGCACTCAATTCGATGCAGTCACCATGATTTACTGTGTTTGGTTCTACTGAAAATGTGGCAGGTATTTAACTACAATGGAAACTTCAATTGGATTATTTCTGGTTTGTAATTTGCCATGGATCTGTTAGTTTCCATGCTTAATTTCAGACATTGGTTACGATCTTCACATGGGAATTCTACCTTCTTTTCCCAGAGGAAGCTTAAAGAGATGCATTGTCATAAGTGACAGAAAACTTTTTTCCTGACATTTCTTAAGACATTTTAACATTTTATCAGCAAACATATCTATTTCCTACATACAACATAAACCCGTGAATATCCGGGTTAGAATTGGTCTTCAGCAGGCCATGCTTATCATAAGAGGTGACTAACAGGATTGGGTGGTCAGAGTCGCTGACTTAGTTGACACATCATCGTATCTAATTTGCTTAGATCGATGTTCATGCTGTTGAACACTGGATTGTCTGGTCCATACTCACTTATTTTCAGACCACTGCCATATGCTGGAATATTGCTAAATGCAGCCTTATACAACAAACTACAACATAATTATTTCTGTTTATTCCAGTAAGAACCAGCAGTTACCATGGTAACTGACATGATGTAATCCGCCAGTACTTACTATCAAACCCAACATGTGCACAGAGAGCAGCAACAGAGCGTCTGAGCAACTTCCTGTTCGTCACCTCATCTATCCTTGGAGGGGGCTGTCCCTACCTCGGGCAAAGTCACTACATGGACAAAATGTTTATAAATCATATGCCAGGACTTGGACTAGTTACCATGGTTACAATCAAGTAAGGATAATAATTAATGGAAATTACAGTGTCAGTAGTGGTAAAAGTATCACAATACATCAGGAAATGAATTACTCTGTACATATAGAGATAACAATAACACACATGTATGACGTACACACATGTGTGTCCACTCGCAACTAATCCATTAAATGAGAAATATTGACTGGGCTGATACATTAATTTTATTAATTTGAATTTCAGCCTACTCATTGCCAGCCTTAATAATCTTAATAAACTGATAAATGTTTCATTGGTAGTGAACTATCAATTTTGTAAAGATATTCATATATTTATATAGATACAACAAGAACATTGAACCATTCCGAATACATATATACATGTATCATCAATTACTATAACATCACCATAGTCAAGTTACCTTGTCAAATGAAATGAAAACTAACAAACACAACCTGGTTTTGTCTAGTTTGGGAAAATGTTGTTTACTACAGTATTCAATACAATGTTGTTCACTACAGTATTCAATACAGCATGTTGTTCACTACAGTATTCAATACAATATGTTGTTCACTACAGTATTCAATACAGCATGTTGTTCACTACAGTATTCAATACAATGTTGTTCACTACAGTATTCAATACAATGTTGTTCACTACAGTATTCAATACAGCATGTTGTTCACTACAGTATTCAATACAATGTTGTTCACTACAGTATTCAATACAAGGTTGTTCACAATACAATATGTTGTTCACTACAGTATTCAATACAATGTGTGTTGTTCACTACAGTATAATACAATATGTATTCAATACAATGTTGTTCACTACAGTATTCAATACAAGGTTGTTCACTACAGTATTCAATACAATATGTTGTTCACTACAGTATTCAATACAGCATGTTGTTCACTACAGTATTCAATACAGCATGTTGTTCACTACAGTATTCAATACAGCATGTTGTTCACTACAGTATTCAATACAATGTTGTTCACTACAGTATTCAATACAATGTTGTTCACTACAGTATTCAATACAATGTTGTTCACTACAGTATTCAATACAAGGTTGTTCACTACAGTATTCAATACAATATGTTGTTCACTACTACAATGTTGTTCACTACAGTATTCAATACAATATGTTGTTCACTACAGTATTCAATACAGCATGTTGTTCACTACAGTATTCAATACAATATGTTGTTCACTACAGTATTCAATACAATATGTTGTTCACTACAGTATTCAATACAATATGTTGTTCACTACAGTATTCAATACAATGTTGTTCACTACTGTATTCAATACAATATGTTGTTCACTACTGTATTCAATACAATATGTTGTTCACTACAGTATTCAATACAATGTTGTTCACTACAGTATTCAATACAATATGTTGTTCACTACAGTATTCAATACAATATGTTGTTCACTACAGTATTCAATACAATGTTGTTCACTACAGTATTCAATACAATATGTTGTTCACTACAGTATTCAATACAATATGTTGTTCACTACAGTATTCAATACAATGTTGTTCACTACAGTATTCAATACAATATGTTGTTCACTACAGTATTCAATACAATGTTGTTCACTACAGTATTCAATACAATGTTGTTCACTACAGTATTCAATACAATGTTGTTCTACAGTATTCAATACAATGTTGTTCACTACAGTATTCAATACAATGTTGTTCACTACAATATTCAATACAATATGTTGTTCACTACAGTATTCAATACAATGTTGTTCACTACAGTATTCAATATAATATGTTGTTCACTACAGTATTCAATACAGCATGTTGTTCACTACAGTATTCAATACAATATGTTGTTCACTACAGTATTCAATACAATATGTTGTTCACTACAGTATTCAATACAGCATGTTGTTCACTACAGTATTCAATACAGCATGTTGTTCACTACAGTATTCAATATAATATGTTGTTCACTACAGTATTCAATACAGCATGTTGTTCACTACAGTATTCAATACAATATGTTGTTCACTACAGTATTCAATACAATATGTTGTTCACTACAGTATTCAATACAATGTTGTTCACTACAGTATTCAATACAATGTTGTTCACTACAGTATTCAATACAATACAATTGTTCACTACAGTATACAGCATGTTGTTCACTACAGTATGTTGTTCACTACAGTATTCAATACAATGCATGTTGTTCACTACAGTATTCAATACAGCATGTTGTTCACTACAGTATTCAATACAATGTTGTTCACTACAGTATTCAATACAATGTTGTTCACTACAGTATTCAATACAACTACAGTATACAATATGTTGTTCACAGTATTCATACAATGTTGTTCAATACAGTGTTGTTGTTCACTACAGTATTCAATACAATATGTTGTTCACTACAGTATTCAATACAGCATGTTGTTTACTACAGTATTCAATACAATATGTTGTTCACTACAGTATTCAATACAAGGTTGTTCACTACAGTATTCAATACAATGTTGTTCACTACAGTATTCAATACAATGTTGTTCACTACAGTATTCAATACAATGTTGTTCACTACAGTATTCAATACAATGTTGTTCACTACAGTATTCAATACAATATGTTGTTCACTACAGTATTCAATACAGCATGTTGTTCACTACAGTATTCAATACAATATGTTGTTCACTACAGTATTCAATACAATGTTGTTCACTACAGTATTCAATACAATATGTTGTTCACTACAGTATTCAATACAATATGTTGTTCACTACAGTATTCAATACAATGTTGTTCACTACAGTATTCAATACAGCACTACAGTATTCAATTGTTTCTACTACAGTATTCAATACAGTATTCATGTTGTTCACTACAGTATTCAATACAATGTTGTTCACTACAGTATTCAATACAATGTTGTTCACTACAGTATTCAATACAATATGTTGTTCACTACAGTATTCAATACAATGTTGTTCACTACAGTATTCAATACAATGTTGTTCACTACAGTATTCAATACAACATGTTGTTCACTACAGTATTCAATACAGTATTCATGTTGTTGTTCACTACAGTATTCAATACAATGTGTTGTTCACTACAGTATTCAATACAATGTTGTTCACTACAGTATTCAATACAATATTTGTTCACTACAGTATTCAATACAATATGTTGTTCACTACAGTATTCAATACAATATGTTGTTCACTACAGTATTCAATACAATATGTTGTTCACTACAGTATTCAATACAATGTGTTGTTCACTACAGTATTCAATACAATGTTATTCAATACAATGTTGTTCACTACAATACAATGTTGTTCACTACAGTATTCAATACAATGCATATGTTGTTCACTACAGTATTCAATACAGCACTGTTGTTGTCACTACAGTATTCAATACAATATGTTGTTCACTACAGTATTCAATACAATGTTGTTCACTACAGTATTCAATACAGCATACAGTATTCAATACACGTTGTTGTTCACTACAGTATTTGCAATACAGTTCTGTTTCAATCACTACAGTTCATTCAATACACAATGTTCACTACTACAGTATTCAATACAATGTTGTTCACTACAGTATTCAATACAATGTTGTTCACTACAGTATTCAATCAATATGTTGTTCACTACAGTGTTCACTACAGTATTCAATACAATTCAATACAGCATGTTGTTCACTACAGTATTCAATACAGCATGTTGTTCACTACAGTATTCAATACAGCATGTTGTTCACTACAGTATTCAATACAGCATGTTGTTCACTACAGTATTCAATACAGCATGTTGTTCACTACAGTATTCAATACAGCATGTTGTTCACTACTACAGTATGTTGTTCACTACATTCAATGTTTGTTCACTACAGTATTCAATACAGCATGTTGTTCACTACAGTATTGTTCACTACAGTATTCAATGCAGCATGTTGTTCACTGTATTCAATACAGCATGTTGTTCACTACAGTATTCAATATTGTTCAGCAATGTTGTTCACTACAGTATTCAATACAGCATGTTGTTCACTACAGTATTCAATACAGCATGTTGTTCACTACAGTATTCAATCACTACAATTCATGTTGTTCACTACAGTATTCAATACAGCATGTTGTTCACTACAGTATTCAATACAGCATGTTGTTCACTACAGTATTCAATACAGCATGTTGTTCACTACAGTATTCAATACAGCATGTTGTTCACTACAGTATTCAATACAGCATGTTGTTCACTACAGTATTCAATACAGCATGTTGTTCACTACAGTATTCAATATATTTGTTCACTACAGTATTCAATACAGCATGTTGTTCACTACAGTATTCAATACAGCATGTTGTTCACTACACAGCATGTATTCAATACAGCATGTTGTTCACTACAGTATTCAATACAGCATGTTGTTCACTACAGTATTCAATACAGTATGTTGTTCACTACAGTATTCAATACAATATGTTGTTCACTACAGTATTCAATATAATATGTTGTTCACTACAGTATTCAATACAGCATGTTGTTCACTACAGTATTCAATACAGCATGTTGTTCACTACAGTATTCAATACAGCATGTTGTTCACTACAGTATTCAATACAGCATGTTGTTCACTACAGTATTCAATACAGCATGTTGTTCACTACAGTATTCAATACAGCATGTTGTTCACTACAGTATTCAATACAGCATGTTGTTCACTACAGTATTCAATACAGCATGTTGTTCACTACAGTATTCAATACAGCATGTTGTTCACTACAGTATTCAATACAGCATGTTGTTCACTACAGTATTCAATACAGTCATGTTGTTCACTACAGTATTCAATACAGCATGTTGTTCACTACAGTATTCAATACAGCATGTTTGTTCACTACAGTATTCAATACAGCATGTTGTTCACTACAGTATTCAATACAGCATGTTGTTCACTACAGTATTCAATACAGCATGTTGTTCACTACAGTATTCAATACAGCATGTTGTTCACTACAGTATTCAATACAGCATGTTGTTCACTACAGTATTCAATACAGCATGTTGTTCACTACAGTATTCAATACAGCATGTTGTTCACTACAGTATTCAATACAGCATGTTGTTCACTACTGTATTCAATACAGCATGTTGTTCACTACAGTATTCAATACAGCATGTTGTTCACTACAGTATTCAATACAGCATGTTGTTCACTACAGTATTCAATACAGCATGTTGTTCACTACAGTATTCAATAATACAGCACTACAGTATTCAATACAGCATGTTGTTCACTACAGTATTCAATACAGTATGTTGTTCACTACAGTATTCAATACAGCATGTTGTTCACTACAGTATTCAATACAGCATGTTGTTCACTACAGTATTCAATACAGCATGTTGTTCACTAGTATTCAATATTCAGCATGTTGTTCACTACAGTTCACTACAGTATTCAATACAGCATGTTGTTCACTACAGTATTCAATACAGTATGTTGTTCACTGTTGTTCAATACAGCATGTTGTTCACTACAGTATTCAATACAGCATGTTGTTCACTACAGTATTCAATACAGCATGTTGTTCACTACAGTATTCAATACAGCATGTTGTTCACTACAGTATTCAATACAGTATGTTGTTCACTACAGTATTCAATACAGTAGGATGTAGATGCTTTTACAATTGTCTTTCAGGGGTTTCTGTTTTTAATAGTGACTAAACTCTTCTCCAGATGTATTACAGGTTACTGTAACTTGTAAATTGAACAACAACATAAATATAATCCACTTGTCTATTTATTCTTATTAGCCCAGATATCTGATACATAAGTATGTTGTGTTACTTTAAGTTGAGTTCAACATCCAAACTCAACCAGTTTCATCAAAATCAGATCTTATAAATCTGTAGAAGTCCCATTACTATCGACATATCAGAGTATCACTTACAAGACTAAGAATGTGTTTTCCTATTCATTTAGAAACAATCAAAATGAGTATCAATTTTTTTTCTGGAGAATTATAACTCAAAATATTTTGAAGGAGTAACCTGGCATGCAAAATAGTGAGGTAAAAGGTGAGAAAGCTGCTTTCTTACTGGCTGATGTTGACATCCCGCTCCCCAGTCATTTGACTGGCCGGTCTTAGTTCACTAAAGGTAGTCCCAAGGGAAGTCCTCAGATTTGTGTGTAGCAGTAATAAGGACTAAGAGTTTAGACCCTAATTTTGATGAGATTGAACCTCGTTGGTTGTAACAGCACAGATTACCTGTTGAAATCTCTTGGCATGAATGGAATTGGTCTTTGAAGCTCATGTTTTGGTTCTGGTCCTTCAAATTCTGGGATGGGCGGTGCTGTCGGAAATGTAATGTCTCCTTCACTGTTCTTCTGAAAAATACTTCAATAATCAAAGCAGTTGTCCTCTGGGAATCCAACACACAGTGTGATACAGTTGAACAAAACACATAGTTCATAGTATCTGAAATGATTAGCTTCAAAACCAGGGTCCTAGAAAATGATCAAAAGTTCAATAGTTTTCTACACTACCACAAGTGACATAAGATTGCATATGCTCAGAAGCTGTTTAGAAATCGTTATGGAGTTTGTTATTATGTTAATTGAAATGATGTGGTATTTTTCAACTGATGCTTTTTGAACAACAGAGAATGTAGAATTGGTCTTCAGCAACCCATGCTTGACGTAAGAGGTGACTAACGGGACAGGGGGATATGACTCACTGACTTGGTTGACACATGTCATCATGTCCCAAAGGCGAAGATCGATGCTCATCACTGGATTGTCTGGTCCAGACTCAATTATTTACTGACTGCTGCCATATAACTAGAATATTGCTGAGTGTGGCGATAAACAACAAACACACTTCTTTAACAATATCACATAATTGTTCACAAAATATGGAAGCATTTTGATCATAATAAGTTCTTCATGTCTTCAACATCAACATGATTCATGTGTGTTATGGTTAATAAAGCACAGTACACTAATAACCAGTTCATGTAGATTGGACTGACATTTTCTATTTGTTGTTGCTGGACACTGTGGATGAGGGGCCGCATCTTCTTTGCATGATGTATCAGCTGAATTGTGTGAAGTGTTACAGGGTCCATCTGGAAGTGGTCAGCAGGTAAGGGACTGAAAAGAAAAAACCCAGCTTGATATATTAAGGTTTTCTATTAAAGTTCTGCTGTTACTTATAATATACCATTATTTGTTTATTGTTAAATACCAGTAAAATTACAACTAACTACTGGTTCAAAATAAACAGTGTGCAAAGAACTACTCTCACAAATAATCTTTTGAACATATTCTGCATTAGACAGGGATCCCAACATGGAATGCTTCAGACAATCAGCTCTCTGCTGATTGAGCATGTTGATAGCTCAACTTGTGCACAGATCTGGATGGGTTGCTAAGTGTTTCATTTCCCACATAGGTATAATGTGTGAATCCCTTTTCTTGTATCCCCCATTGATGATATTGCTGGACTACCATGAATACTGCTAAAACTTGCAAAGAAAAACATACTCACTGACAGATCAGGAGCCTCTAACTGGGATCTGATTCTGCATAATTATGTTTGTTTTGTTACTTTGTAATGCCACATTCAGCAATATTCCAACTAAATAATCGAGTCTGGATCAGACAATCCAGTGACTGATATCATGAACATCGATCTACGCAATTTTCTCCAGAAAAGGAAAAGTTTCTTCCGTTCCCCCAACCCTAAACCTAACTCTAAACCTAACCGTAAACCTAACCCTAACTTAAATTTTGGACTTTTATTCATTTTTGTGAATTCTCTAGTAATTGTTGTGTTAAGTTTTGTTAATAATTTTAGTATATGTTAATTTGGCTAGAATGCACTTTACCGGGCGCTGCCCTCGCTGCTCCCTTTACGACCCTTAGGGTTAGGGTTTAGGGTAACGGTATGCCACCCTTTACGATCCTTAGGGTTAGGTTTTAGGGTTAGGCACCCTTTACGATCCTTAGGGTTAGGGTTAGGGAACCCCAGCAGCGCTAATTAATCCGAAAAAGTGCGCCCGGTAAAGTGCAGTACTCCCCGCTCTCGTAGTAAACCTAAGAAACTGCCGCTGACACTAAGAACATTTCGAGACAGGAACTTACTCGTTCGATGGCGGATAATGTCGACTCGATGGTTGATGAAGGCGAGGTCCTTCAACTTCCATTGGTCTTGGTTTGGTCATCTGCTCTCTTTCTAAGGCTATTATTCCAGAGTCAGCCTCCGGGACAGACGGAATCTCGCCCCAGTGAGTATTCATTTTCTCCACGGTCTCCACATACAACCGGAAGTTTACAGTAAGGCCATATTTGCAGCTACGGACATAATGATAGCGAGCTTATTTCGGAATTATACATAACATATAAATATACCTATATTTCATGTATGTGTGATTTGCATGGGTGATTTGTGCCGTGTCAAACTATTAAATTAAGTGCTTAGTAGCATAAAACAATTATGTGCGGGATTGTGTTGTCAAGGCGATAGAAAACTAATGGCTGCCGTTTCACCCAAGTTAGTGTAAACATCACACGGCAGAGAGAGGACACATAAACAGTGAGTTTCACAGGATTTGAAATCAGTGGCATTCTCAGAATGGGACTTATGAAAGTGTTGTACATTTATTAAAAAGTTCAATACTTATTCCAGGGACGTGAAAACAAGGTAAAGCCACATTTGACCTTTGCTATCTTGGCACCATTTCAATGATTTTATGTTTCCGTATCAAACAAGAGATCAAATCATCAATACTAACGAGACTAGGTTTTATTAATCCCAATATGTTTTTCTCAAATGTCGATGTGAACATTGTTCATAATAACGAATTTATAAATAAGTAAAATCTTGTATAAATGCGGTCCTATGGCTGTACAGTCAAGATGCAGAGTCATGTCTTGACTGTATTGGATTGCATCGCGGCTCTCGGCTAGTATAAGTCACAGACGTGGAGAAATTGGTTGAAGTTTTACAAACTTTGACCTGCTATGCACTGATAAATATTTTTGAGAGTGAAAGACAATTCTTCGTGTTACTCTTGATGACTGCCCATGATGCTTCACTGACAAGATTTTCTTTGCAGGTCCCTGTATATCCTTACAGAATACCGGATACATAGCAACCATATTGCTTAATGTCACGTTACCCGAACCCTAAACCTTGCCCTAACCGGAACCCAAACCCTAAACCTTACCCTAACCCTAATTTTATAACCCTTGCCCTAACCGGAACCCTAAACCTTATGCTAACCCTAACGCTAACCCGAACCCTAAACCTTACCCTAAACATTACCCTAACCCTAATGTTATAACCCTTGCCCTGAACCTTACCCTTACCTTGCCCTAACCCTAAACCTTGGGTTAGGAAGGTATCCGGTATTCTGTAATCTTACCATATCCTTTTGTTGTTGGTTTTCAGATTTCAATTATCGGATGAACAATTGTAAAAATGCCACTAACATTTTAAAGAAAATTTCATCTTAAACAAAAGCTATCATTCAAGTTTTTACAATGTCTGTGTGACTGTGACAACCCACTTTATTATTGTGAGAGTAAAAAGTGACAACTGAAAACATATGTTTGAAAACAATAATCCTTTCTGGTTATGACATATCACTGAGTAAATTTCATTAAAAATGAGTATAACATCACTATAATCTTATATTTCTGTTGTTCAAGGTATGGCGGCCATTTTGCCGCCTATAAAAGGGGCTGTCCCAACCCCCAAGGGTCAGCAACAAAGTGAGTATTTGCCAAGCCCACCACGAAGTGGTAAAGCATCTGGTCGGCTAGTATCCCTTAAACATGGAAACAAAGAACAGCGCATGCTTGAACGTCGTATGCAGTTAAGAGCAGGACAGCCTTCACTAAATAAACAGGAAACATCAGTGTAAGTGGTTTTATTAGCATTTCTAGAAAAATCATGGAATAAGAAAATGAATGGCAATTATTTCTATAGAATTCTTAAACATTTGCCTGTGCATATGTGCTTTGGGAGTTGTCTTATATGATGATCTTGGACAAATGTTAAGTTGATAATTGTGATTTTTATAAATAAAATAATGGTTAAGTTTACATTTGATTCATTTTATCGCTTGACACAAAAGTTAAACAAGCGATTATTTATGGAAGTATATTTTGAAAAAGTATAAGGAAGATGTTTGAGCCATAGGTGTTTTGTCTTTTACATCTTTCTCTTAGTATTCTCATGCTTTTCTTTTTCTTCAGATATCGCAACACTTACAAACATAACTTATGTCTGGACATGTTGGAGGAAGGATTCCATATGTCCTTCCGAGAACTGTTTGCTCTGATAAAGCAACAGGAAGACGACCGTCAGAATGCTGGCCCAGAGTCACTCATGTGGTCACAGGTGATGCTCAAAGATGAACATGAAAAACTTGACATGCTGAAAATAAACCTTACAAATTCAGAAGCTGCAGAAAGGAAAGGTGTGTGGCATATTTTCTCTTCAAGAACTGACCATTATTTATGTTATGTTTTGCCATTATTGTAACATATGTTATATTTGGGATTACACTTTCAGAGTACTTTTCTGAGTTGAGCCCCATCTGGGATTCGAACTGACACCCTCAGAGTCAGGCTCCTAATCGCCAGCACTCAGGGTGTGAGTTCGAATCCCGGATGGGGCTCAATTCAGGAAAGTACTATAATTTGTACTTTACTAAATAAGTGTAATCCCAAATATAACATATGTACATTTGACCCCTTTCTTAATGGCATTGTGTAGTTATTGCCATTATTGTTATGGTGTGAGCAGTTTTAATCTTGTCAGTCTTGCACTCTTAACTAGGGGTGAAACACCGTATACCGAGGTATTAGCTGTATTTTGCCTTGGGTTCAGTATACAGTAATGCAATCCAAACATTTGGTCATTTTATTAATCTTTTTAAACCTTTTCTAAAATATCTAGAAATTGAATAATTTTGTCAAATTCTTTCTAAGTTTGACCCTTGTCAGTTTTCTGCATTATGATCCTATCTCATAGCCTAAACCAAAACGGTCCGAACCAAAGGCCTGGTACAGTGTAGTACAGCAATATGTACCGTACTGTGGTAAGAGCGTACTGTTTCAACCCTACTTTTAACACTTATATGTCTTCCTTCCAGGTATAAAACAGATAACGCTGCTCAAATATTATTACCTACTTTTTTCATTAAAGCTCACCAGATTCTGTCTTCTAAACTGAAACAATCTTGCTGGAAATATTTGAAAAAGATGTACACAGCAAACATATTATTACAAAATATAACCATGTTTTTTTCCCTATAGGTATCTATGCGGATGTGTACAAAGCCCGCTACCAGCTAGCTCAGTTCTTTTCTTCAACTGGTGATAAATGGTTGGCAGATCATTTCTTCCTGACATGTCTGCAGACCAGCACTATGGTGGAAGATGATGGAGGTCGTACGAGGGCTGAAGCATTCTGCAACATGGGACTGGCGCTGGAAGAAAGTGGTATGAGATGTCTTCTAGAAAGTGTTGTATAATCAGTTATATCAATCAATATGGAGGCGACACCATTTCGATCTTACAGTTTCTGGACTTTTAGCTGACCAGATATTAACTGATCACTCAGCATAGTCAGAACACTTCCGATAGTCATGTAACTCTCACTCCAGCAAAATCTTTGATAGCTGAGGATGATTTTCTGTGATTTGTCTAGGTTGATAGACTAAGCATTCATTGTCTTTGACAGGGGAGTACTTGGATGCATCAGAACATCTGGAGGCCTACCATGCTCTGTCGTCAGAGAACCACGGCTGGACGAAAGAAGATGATGCTCTGACTTTCTACACTGATGCATGCGTTAACTTGTATCGTATTTACACCACCATTGGACGACGCGTCGAGGACAATGACCCAGAAGCTGCACTAGATCTTCTCTTGAAGGCCCTCAACATGGCCAAAGACAGTGAGTGATGTTGTACATGTATCTTCAAACATAAAAGATTGCTTTCTCTTTAAAAACTGTATTCTTATTCCATTTTTTCCCCTCCTCTGAGTCCCCCTCTGAGTGTCCATCACCCAGTTACATCCCAGTTATTTGTGCCTGGATCCACTGTTCATGAGTTCAAATACCAGGTTGTCTTGATGATGAACCTCTGTTAGTGCCACACCTTTAGGTTTCACCAATGGCAAACATCTGCAGTCTGCATTATATATGATGTATTGATTGGCACTATTGAGGACATGCCATGATGTAACAGAAGTACTGATGAAATTGCTTTAAACCCAACTCACTCACTCATGCTCCATGTGCAAAATACACATCATATTGGAAAGCAGATGTAAATTCATCATCATCATCACTCACTCACTCACTCATGCTGACTCCTTTCCATTATGGGGTTGATGGGGTAGCCTAGTGGTTAAAGCGTTCATTCGTCATGCCGAAGACGAGTTCGATTAACCACATGGGTACAATGTGTGAAGCTTTGATTAACCACATGGGTACAATGTGTGAAGCCCATTTCTGGTGTCCCCCAGCATGATGTTGCTGGAATATTGGTAAAAGCCGCATAAAACCAAACTCACTCACACACTCTTTCCATTAGGTGAAGACAAGCATCTGGAGGGTGAGGCTGCCTACACTCTTGGCCTTGCATATGAGCGAGCTGGTGATGGAGAAACAGCACTGTTGGTAAGTCACAGTTAACAAAGTTAAAATATATATTCTTTTGTAAAATTCATCAATGAGACATGATTTTTTCAAATGTAAAACAGATCAATTGTTTTCATATGTTGTTTTGAACACAAGTCAGAAAGAGTTCCTTTCCGTTTCCCCACTTCTTTCTTCTGCAGATTAACAGGGTAACGCTAACCTGGTTTTACCATATACATTATAATTATTTTTTAGGTTTTCTAGTTATTTTTGTGAGTTCTCTAGTAATTGTTGTGTTAGGTTTTGTTAATAATTTTAGTATATATTAATTTATAAATATTATTTGGGATGGTGGAACGGGAGGAGCTCTTACCCACAAGTCCAATACCAGCTTTTGAATCTGATATTCAGATTTTTATCTTCTTGTCTGTGAACTTATTGAAATGTTTTACAGAGAAAACACTGTTCTGTAATGCATTTGTTGCATGAGTGTATTATCCATAAAATCAACTGTAATAGTTATTCTACAGTAGCCAATACATTTCATCAGATCTTCAATTATTCCAATATGTGTGTCATTGCAGCATCTCAACAGCTTCCTGCGTACATGTCGTCAAGCTGAAGACCACGAAGGCATTGGGAGGGCTTGTGATGCTATTGCTAAAGCTTATGCAAGGTAAGAAATACACCATTGGCATCCCTGATAGTATTTTATTATGTAACACAAGGATTTCCACTGCATTCATTTGCAACGATTTCCAACGCATGCAATAGAAGACTAGCCTGAAACATGGTAGAATAACAATGTAAGATAACAATCAATAATTGCACGATTCACATCACATTTTATAGATATATTTTAGACGTTGCTTACATATAATAGATATGCAATGTTATATGTGAGGTAAAATTGGGTTTAACGTCGTGCTTGAGAATATTTCGCTCATATGACGACGTGCATGTGTGTGTATGTGTATGTGCGGCTGCTTGTACTAGCCCAGACTTAAGCTGGTTTTATAGTGCTAGCCCACTGAGATACCATGCCACAGTGAAGTATGAATACCCCACTCAAGCACATTATACTGACTCCGAGCCGAGCAGTCCTTGTTGTACCCATTAATGCCGAGCGCCAGGCAGGGACCAACAAGTACCATATTTTAACGTCTTTTGGTATGACTCGTCCGGGGATCGAACCCGCGACCTTCCGCTCTCAGGGCGGACGCTCTAACCACTACACCACAGAGGCGGTGCAATATTATATGTAGATTTACTTAGTATTACTACATAATAACTTAATTAACTTAACCCAATAGATAATTAAATACACACACAGGTAAATGTATGTATATATAAATCATGAATACTGTCATAACCATGAGAACTTCACAGATACATATAAATTAATATACCCATGGTAACACACATTACTTTATCGTGCACATGAATGATACACATTATTACTTATGCTACATAGCATAGATGATGTAAACATTAAACATGTGATAGATATTACATAATACACAATGATAGATATAAGTGAAACAAAATGACAACATACCAGGTTGGTATGAGTCCTGAGTTGCTGCATACAAAGCATAGGCAACACAGCCGGTGTCTACGTCATCTTCAAGATGGATAAATAATGTATGCAGATAATGATATGTACAACAAATGATTAAAAGAGTAACTACAGTAAAAGCTACATACAACCACATCTAACTGCACATACATCCACACACGCATTCATTTATGGTAGGGATAATAATGGTAGTAGCAATAATGTTTTAATATAATAGGAATATGGAAGGTAAGATTATTGCTTAATATTATACTAAGATGAAATATAAATATAATTATATAATATAGCACTCACACAACTCACTGTACTGTGAGTCAAAACGTAACCTTAACCTAACTCACTATACTGTGAGCTAGAACCATAAACGAAAGCAGTATTATAACTGGGGGTGACTATTGAGGGGGGAAACAACTAGTGCGATAGCGATAGTCTATTGCGACCAACTATTGCAATAGTTTTTTCTCCTTGAATTGTCTTATTTGAGGTCATTTCCCAAATGAATGTATAGTTTATGTGAAATTAAAACAAGTTGAAGTAGTTTCAGTCTCTTTTAATAACTAACAAGAAACTTGAAACCCAGACCAAGTAAACAGTTAAAACAAACTCAATGAAGCTGCGCGTCTGCCCCCAAACATCCTGTATTTTGCGCTGCGCATTTATCAACGAATGTCAATTACTAAACTATCAATAGTCACACATGCTATAGATGCATCGATAGTTTTTCGTTTCTACCATCGAGTAATTGCCATCGGACATTCAACAATTGCAATCCATCGATAGTTCGATGCATCGTTACAGCTGTAAATTGGGAGTTATAATCTTCAATGATAGCAATAACATATCTCACTATACTGTGAGTTACGAGTACCACCACATATAATATTCACACATAATAGATAATGGATACTGAAATTAATCATACTTTTAACTATAGCCGATATAACTACCAACTATTAAATTACACACACAAAACCACAATAAATAATATATACACAAGACTAGAGATTACTAACCTTAGATATATGAAACACAGTCCAGATCACCATTATCTCGATCCTAAAGAATATCAAAACAACATGTGCAATGACAACCACATATGATACTGACCAAGAGACCAGCTGAAATTAACCTTTTAAATACCTTATGCTACGCTTGGATGAACACAGAACAATAGAACCTACACACTAGCCTAATCAAGGGGCATGCTTTGGAAGGGATTACAGTGAGAAAAGCATGCAGTGCAAATTAGTAGTGCTGAAATTGACAACACTTAAGATTAGATTGATGTTTAGAGGGCTAATGTTGAGTTTTGAGTATAAAATAATTGATAAAATGGTTAGATTTAGTATATTTAATGAGATTGTATATTTCATCAAAATATGACAACCAACTTTAAAAGGTTCACATGTTTATTCACAAAACTACATACAACACAAAGTTAACCCTGCAACATAATAAAACAATCATAAACTTTAAAAATTGGTGCCTGTTTTTATTGACATGCAAGTTCAATAATGTTGCATTTTCTGGTACATTATAAAAAACAGGTGTTCACTCATATAAGTTTTATGTTTTAAGTTATAAATTTGCTAGAATACCTGGTGTTATATGGAGTTTGTTTGTTCTTCCAGACAGGGCAAAGTTGATGACAGCATTGAGTACCTGAAGCAGTTTGTGGACACAGCTGAACAGAGTGGTCAAGAAGCTGCATTCAGTAAAGCATGTCACAATCTTGGCAGTGTCTTCAACTCACTGGTCAGTTGCCTTCTGGAATGGTTCGGTTGTTGTTGTCTAACGCCGCACTCAGCAATATTCCTGCTATATGACGGCAGTCTGTAAATAATCAAGTCTGGAACAGACAATCAAGTGATCAACATGATGAGCATTGATCTAATATTGAATTGGGATGCGATTACATGTGTCGACCAAGTCAGTGAGCCTGACCACCTGAATTTGAAATGGTAATTCTGAGCATATAGCTGAACAGCTGACAAAATTGGGGATTGGAAGTATAGACTGTGTAACAATGCATTTTTCATCACCAGGCTCAGATCATGCATGTGTTATTGTATTGTATCATTGTGAATTATTGTTCATCCTATCAACCACTGATTTTACTGATTTTTCAGGCATCATTATAAAACTGACATATTGGTGACTGTTGTAAAATTTTGTTTTCTTCCAAATACTACCATTTATTGGTTGGTTTAAATTAGGCTTTTGATGTCAGAGTTATCCCCCTTTGTACTGTGATGCTCACTTAACTGCATTTTGATGATTATCATGGTGTTATTGTCTCTTGGTTAGTCATTTATCATTAATGAACTAACACAGAAAAATTGCACCGTTTTACATTGTCAAAAACATTTTAATCCAAATTATTTGTGGATAATCATGGTTACATATTCTGACCAGTTGCGTCAATTCTGAAAAGTGTGCTGCAGTGTGAATTTGCTGTGCATAGTTGCATTCATCTAAGGTATGTGAGATATCACCCTGATATTGTTCAAAGCAGTGTTATCCCATTAACTCAGACATAAATAGTTCTGATTTCTAACTACAGGGTCGTTACGATGAGGCAAGCGAGTACTTCAGCAAGGCCTACAACATATCCCGCTCTATGGGTGAAGCCAGTGCTATCCATGTGAACAGGGTGCAGTATGGCATCTCACTTGCCCACCGGATGATGGCACGCTTTGCTAAACATGTAGAGGAGGGGGATCGGCAGTGTATGGAGAGACTGACAGAGTGGAAGAGCGCCCGAGCTGATGACTTCGACAAACCTATGGTAGATCCAAGTAAGTATTATCACATAAAATGTACCTCACCTGTGAACTTGCATGGGGAATAATGCCCCGCTTCTTAACTATTAAGCTTGCATTTTAATGACGGGTAAGATAAAGATCAGTGATAGATCATTACTAGGGCTGATACAATGCACTCTTGTATTTGGTGAATTAACCATAATCTTTCATAAATTCAATTTGTTACTGATCATTTGAATTGAATATTCATGAATTTTTAAATTCTTTTAAAAAGAGTGTTTTTTCTTGAATTTGGGTGTTATTGATATCCAAGTTAGGCAGGGTAATAGTCAACATTTATATATATTTACTTTGACAGTAATGTGGTCACATGTCATTGCCACGGTCTCTGACCACAGAGCATGGTTGGCCTCCAGATGTTCTGTTGCATCCAAGCACACCCCTGTCAAAGACAATGAATGCATTAGAACATATTCGCCTCTTAGTGGATTCATTGCAGCCTGGGTCGTGGGAGTAGCCTAATGGTTAAAGCGTTTGCTCATCATGCCAAAGAACCAGGTTCAGGGTACAATGTGTGAAGCCCATTTCTGGTATCCCCTGCCGTGGTATTCCTGGAATATTGTTGAAAGCGACTTAAAACTCACTCACTCACTCATTGCAGCCCTAATTATTACTGTACTGTATCCTCCAGATGCTAAGGCTGCTGCTGAGGCTGTGAAACTGCCTCCTGTAGACGTTGCAGAAGAGGAGGAGGGAGACAAGAACCAGTCATCTCTGGAGGAGGAGGAGGAAGCTGGGGAGGCACAACAAGAAGGGGAGCTACAACCTGAGGGGGAGAACAAGGAACTGACACAAACAAGCACCCTCACCACAACCACAGAAGACACTCAGAGCCTGGCAGAGTAGCTCAGGCTCCACATACTGTGATTGGAAGGGACTGTATTCAGTGTTCCAAAACAAGAGATGGTGATTACAAGTGATAGCATTTAATTATGTGCCCCAAACATCTAAAATCTGGGGAATTTTTATATCTTTAAAGGGAAACTACAAAAAAGCATGTTCATATGTATTTTCTTTTTTAAAGACATTTTAAAAATATTGCTGCATTAAAGTTATATGATCCAGAAATCGAAACCAGTCCACAAGACAGGAACAACTTGCAGGCTGACCCTGAGGCTATTGTTGTTTTCTGGCGACAAACATGTTTCTTATCAACACATGATCAATATGCACCAAAATGTTGTAAGCTGTTGTTGCAAATGGAACACAAGTTTGAATATTCGGTATGTCTAATTCTGAACACCAAATCTGTTCTTGAAGTCATTCCTGGGCACTACGTACATTCTGTGATATAAGCATAGCCTTGGCTGATAGATGTCACCATATAGAGTTCCAAAGTATTTTGTACATAGCTTTACTTGATTCCGTCCGGGTATACACTTGTTACGTTGTGTCTTACTTTTCTTCCGTATATATATATTGTCTTGGCATCACCAGCCATCTGTTTGTCTTTTCTGTAAGTAAGGATGTCTGATGCTGTGATTTACATAACAGTGACAACCTCAATACCAGATAACCATTAATTGTCCAATAAAACCTGTGTTATTGATATCTAGATTTGTTGTTTGTTGTTATTGTTTTTGATATGTTGACTTGTAGACATAATACTAATAGGTACTAGGGCTGTGTATTGCAGGGGTGGAAATAACTTTAAAATTGCTAGTGTACTCCGGTAAAGTGGCACAGGTAAAATCACTTGCCCTGATAATTTTTCCACTATACCGTCCGTTTTCTTGTTGATTTTTTAATAAACAACATAATTAACATTGGAAATCAACTGGACACCGGTACAGTGTGATATACAAATTTGCTTGCCCGACAGAAAAAACACTGGACTCGGACGTCGGGCAATGGGTTATTTCCACCCCTGGTATTGGCAAATAAATTGTATTGCAATTATTGCGATTCTGGTACCTGTATTCCGATACATATTGCGATATATTCGGAGCTTCAGTGTTTGACATTGATTGTACATGCAGAGCCTATTTTCAACATACCAAAGCCCTAAAAATAAATGTTATGGTTGTGATAACAGAAATCTCGAATTCTGAGATCTTTGTTCATGCTATCAACCACTGGTATGTGCAGGGTGCTGTTGTTCAAAGCAATCCCAGCACTGAGGTGATCATTACTCACACACTCCTAAACACAGAGTAACAACAATCACAACTCTCAGATTGTTCTGTAACAAAATGTAAAACAGCACCCTGGCTTACCGTTTATACCTAACCTTGTATAGTTTCATTATTGTTGACTGTGGTGTAAAACAACATTCATTTATGTATTGGAAGCTTGACATAGGCCTCCTTAACGTTCCAAGAACAACATTAGAATAGGAGATGAAGATAAAGCTTTATTTGATCCTTTGGCATTCTTATTCCATTTCCGATACAGGCAAGATATCAACTTCACAAAATCATCAACATCAGTAAATATCACATGAGAGAAGACAACATAGAGTTCCTCTAAAACATACATGTAAATCACAGTAACTCCAATATTAAAGTATGCTTTGTATATTTGTGAAAATATAGATCTGTGTACACATGTTCACCACTATATTCATATTTACTTTGTACAGGTAGTCTTGTAGTATTGATTAAACTCAGCATGTAAATGTTCAAATCTCTCTCTAAATATTCCAGTTGATGAGACTTTCCCTGAAATTATTCACAGATACCATGATCAAGGATGAATGTTTAGGTTTTATTTGTTTCATCTGACTTAATTATTTTATCCATTAAATCTTCAGTACTTGACATTTATTTTTTGACACAGGACAAGAAAGAAGTATGATTAGTCATTATCGTGTACATAGATAATATTTGAATATAGGTAGTGATTATGATAAATACCAGTATCTGATGCTTTATGCTATCAATGTATTCAGAAACGTTTGTTTTTTTGTGTGTCAAAAAGGCTTAGGTTAGATGTTAAAGAAAAAGCATTCTTCAAATTAAAAGCATAGATAGTAAACTTTTACATGATACCAGCATGCATCCCACATTAATCTTAATTACCAATCCAAATCCACTAAACTATGTTCCCAGTTGTGCTATTATAGGTTTTCAGCCGAAATCATATAGTGCATGTGAAACCTATTTCTGGTGTCCCCCCGCCGTGATATTGCATGAATATTGCTAAAAGCGGTGTAAAACTAAACTCGATCACTCATTACTTTAGTGCATGCGACCGAGTGTTAACAAACAATAGTGTCAAAATCAAAGTAAAAGAATAAGGGATGTTGTGTATTCTGATTCAAGCCACTCTGCAGTCTGCAGGTGGTGCTGAAACAGGGTTACGTTGTTCAGGTTTCATGGTGTCCAGAACCTGCCCAATGTCTCCATTCTTGGCCTCGATGAGCTGGGTCAGCCAACCACCTTCATTCTTGAAGCCCATGGCCAGCATCTGTTGCAGAGCCTCTCGGATACGGGGATCTGATGGGAGGGGGGCATCCTCTGTGTTCAGTCCAGATGGATGGCTTGTTGATGAGTTTGCGGGCATGGAGCCAGCTTCAGAAGTGTTGGGGTTGGCAGTGGTCTCTGTCTGACCTTCAGCGCCGGGGAAGTGGGGGTGGGGATATGCTGGGAAGTGGTGGGGTGGGAAATGGACCGGCATGTGGGGGTGTGGAGGGTGTCCTGGAACCAGATGGTGTCCTGGAGCATGGGGATGTGGTGGGTGTCCGGGGAAGTGGTGGTGTGGAGGGTGTCCAGGGAAAGGTGGTGGAGGGGGATGTCCGGGGAAGTTGGGATGAGGCTGATGATGCATGAAGGGGGGTGGCATGTGTCCTGGGTGGGTGTAGCCTGGTTGGCTTTGACCTTGGAATGGGTGGAGGCCGAATCCTGGAGGGTAGCCAGGTTGGGTTCCAGCTCCAGGCTGACCATCAACCACATCTGTTCTGGTGTGGGCAGTTGTCAGAAGTGTCCAGTCCTCACTTGTAGTGGGGCTGGTTGTCTCCTCCTCCTTGAACTGTGTCGCTTCTTCTGGCTTTTCTCCAGCACCAGGGGCTTGAGAGCTTGAAGAGGAGGAGGTGGCAGAGGCAGAGATGGTGACGGAAGAGGAAGATTGTCCATTCCGTGCTTCATTAGTTTCTTCCGGACCATCAACATTCAGGTTCATATCATCTTCCCCAGTCTTTGTTATTTTCAGATGGACTGCACCACCTAGAACAGAAAAGATTATATATTTGTCTTTAAAAATGAGAGAGTTAGCCTAATCTCTTTTGGGAACATTTTTTTCATCTTGATAGGAAGGTAAGCCCAAATGACACAGCTCTTGGTGGTTTCAGGCTTATAGGAAACATTCTCAGGACCAATCTTCATTTTACACCTGCGATCATAAGTTTCTGTCACATCTAAGAGACACATATCTTCACAGTGAATTGCTGCTAAAGAGTGTTTGATCGTCTGATCAGTTTTCCATTTGAGAAATGACAGGCATGTTATGACATTCGTATATGAACAATTTCCGTTTCAAAATGCATCAGGTATATGAACGAAACTTACTAGAATTATCAAAGACAGCTGCCATGTCCTCGTCCATGTGAGCTAGAATCTCTTCCTCGGTTATCTCCCCTTCCTTTCTTTCTCCACCTGCGGCGGGAGAAACACCTTCATTTTGGCGTCGGCTTTGCCAGCGTCTCATGAAACGCTGCATCCACCGTCGCACATGGGGTGGAATAAATGCCTGCAGAAACAACGTCATATTAGTGAGTGAGTGAGTTGAAATTTAAGGTCACATGAATACAACTTCAAAAGTAATACTTCGTATTTACCAATTAACACTAGTTTTATGTATATATGTTAAGTAATCACACATGTAGTATAATATGTCTTTTGGCCGACACCCGTGAAGGTCCGGGTTAAAACTGATCTTCAGTAACCCATACTTGTCTAAGAGGCGACTAACGGGATCGGGTGGTCAGGCTCACTGACTGGGTTGACACATGTCATCGTATCCCAGTTGCGTAAATCGATGTTCATGCTGTTGATCCCTGGATTGTCTGGTCCAGACTCGATTATTTACAGACCGCCGCCATATAGCTGGAATATTGCTGAGTGCGGCGTAAAACTAAACTCACTCACTCTTTTGGCCGACGTAATACTTGTGCGTGACATGTACGAACTTGACGCTGTGTGCGTACGTGACGTTGTGTTGAATTAATGTTATATATTATAATAACTAGCATTACCATTATTCTTTTCGGTATTAGAGAACATTTACCAACATATATGGTATACGGTTTTTGATCTTATAAACTTACCCCAGGTTTCAGGTGGTCCCTTGGAGCAACGATTTTCCACATGTCGTGGTGGCTGTGAACGCCATCGGCCTCGCAGCGGGAGCAGATGTCGTAGCTGGTGCAGTCACAACACTTGAAGCGCGCACCGGACACAGTTCCCAAACAAGAGTTGCAGATGACGTTGGGGTGGGTCTGTCCGGGGGTGTGGCGTCGGTCATGGGAAACTGGAAACACAACAAAATATCAATTTTGATGAAATAAATATATGCTAAAAGTCCCTTGTAAAGAAAGACCGTTCCAAAAATAAAGCATGACATCCTTCACGTTTGAATTCACGAAGCTCACGTCATATACTTGCCTTTCATGAGATATCACATACTATTAAGTGAGCGAGTAAATTATAATTTACGACGCTTTTAGCAATATAACGTGATATCACCATAGGAGAAACCAGAAATAGGATTCACACATTATATCCTTGTCGAAAACAGAACTCGGGCTTTTGGCGTGACCAAGGAACGCTTTAACCACAAGGCTACCCCACCAATCCATATAAGTACAATGTCTTTGCTAGATATTAGATGACACGTACTTAATACAAAACATCTTACATGCCAACAGTAATAGTTACTGTGCTAGTTAATAGTTGTCTTAAGAGGCGGGGGCGGTGGGGAAGCCTAGTGGTTAGAGCGTTGGCTCGTCACGACAAAGACCCGGGTTCGAATCCCCACATGGGTACAATGTGTGAAGCCCATTTCTGGTGTCCCCCGCCGTGATGTTCCTGGAATATTGCTAAAAGTGGCGTAATACCAAACTCAGTCAGTCAGTCTTAAGAGGCGACTAACGGGATCAGGTGGTCGGGTTCGCTGAATTGGTTGACACAGGTCACCTTATCCCAATTGTGTAGACCGGTGTTCGCGTCGTTGATCACTGGATTGTCTGGTCCAGACTCAATTATTTACAGACCACCGTCATATAGCTGGAATATTGCTTAGTGCGACGTAAAACTCAACTCACTCACATCCCAATTGCGTAGACCGGTGTTCATGTTGTTGATCACTGGATTGTCTGGTCCTGACTCAATTGTTTACAGACTGCCGCCAAATAGCTGGAATATTGTTAAGTGCGGCGTTACACAACAAACAAATATCACGGAAAACAAATAGTTGCTCCCTTACCGTTAATGTGGACACGGAGGACTCCATCTGTTACAGTGCTGACGGCGTCTTGCAGCTCCCTGTCAGTTGAGAAGGTCACGAGGTCTCCATCTCTGTCTGCAACACAGAAACATGAACATATACTAACATGTTCCGCAATATACCAGTACATCAGTTCCTAGCTTTGCACCAAGGCTGTACTGATTACTAAGCCCAAGCATGTATAGGAATTCTAACCTTTAAAGAGGCAAGTCAAGAGGACCCCAGTCTGTTATTTATGTTATTAATTATCATTTAAATGATTAATTATGACACTAGAAACTTACGCAAGGACCCCAGTCTGTTATTCATAAATTTCTTTTAGAAATTGTCATTTAAACTATTAATTATTACCTAAGAGACCTGTGTAAGTCTAATCAGTTCCGTATTTACTGTTATGCATGTCTGTTGCTCTGGATATATATAAGATGATTAACTTCGTGATATATCGACATAGTCATAAGTATAGTTTATAATGACAAATAAACTTTTACATTACACCTCTGTGGACTGTTAACCTACACCTGCTATCTACAACGACAAAATATCCAAAAGCTGCTCCACATGAGGGATTCAAAATATATTTAATTTCTAAAACTTGGATGATTTGTTAAACCTCCCGTATCACAGCATGTTACACATTTTGTAATATCTGCCGGGATTTCATTATTTCGAGTTGCGGTGGGATAGTCTAGTGGTTTAAGCGTTCGCTCGTCACGCCGTAAAAGACCTGGGTTCGATTCCCCGCATATATAGGTACAATGTGTGAAGCCCATTTCTGGTGTCCCCCGTCGTGATGTTGCTGGAATATTGCAAGGAGCGGCGTAAAACCTCACTCACTCCACGGGGGCTTGTATTGCTGAATATAACACGTACTTATCTATATGTAAAAGGCTATGAGTAAAGCACTGTTGGACCTAGCTAGGACGTATTATTTTCAGCAATACAAGCCCCTGTGACTCACTCAATATATATATACAAAAGTCGGGATGATAAGATGAGATCTATCAATGTCCTCTTCCTCTGCATTGAATATATTAACGACACGTATACCTAAATCATATACGTGACAGCTAGTCACTTTCCAAATATAACTCGGGTCTCGGTGACCGCGCGTGAGCGGATTGATTCTTAAAGAACAGCTTGTCTCCAAGCGATCGTGTCGATACTAACGGCGCAGTAAACGTTTCTAAAGGTCAAGGGCGCCTTCGATTATTCAAAAAAAAAAAAAATATATCATGATTCACTGAATCAAGCACCTGATTCTCTTACCAGGAAGCGCGTGCCATTTTTGTGTGAGATATATATGTGCACTGAATTTCAAGGATTCTGTTTTGACATTATATACCTGCAGTGAATAAGAGCTTATAACAATATAATGCAAATATTTCATGACTCGCCCTATCCGGTTATATATACCGATTTACCATATGCTTCTCTACAATATAATCCTTTCAGTTTATCCTTGAACATTGCCTTCATGACTTGTGCAATTTGTTATTCTTAATCTCCAGCTGGCCTCGTCCAATGATGTGCTACCTGTGATGAGTTACCTGTGATGTGCTAACTGTGATGAGTTACCAGTGATGTGTTAACTGTGATGAGTTACCAGTGATGAGTTACCTGTGATGAGTTACCTGTTGTTGTTATCGTTAGTCTCCTGATTGTTACTATATATACTTCTCATCACTTAGATGTAGTCTGTTTTATCTTGATAACAGTGTATGAATCGACATCGAAATGTCCTCTATGCGTCCAGTTCGGTTTATAATGACGAATTTACCAGGATCAATTTCAGGTAAAAGACAGCTCACTGTAATACACAGTACATTTATATCCTCCTCTCTCTCTCTCTCTCTCTCTCTCTCTCTCTCTCTCTCTCTCTCTCTCTCTCTCCTCTCTCTCTCTCTCTCTCTCTCTCTCTCTCTCTCTCACCGTATGCTTCCTTAATTAATCACCAACCTCTAAAATGTCGCTTAAACAATTATACATACCTATACCTATTTGACAGTAGTAACAATAAATGAAAACACCCTATAACACTAATATGAACGTATTCAGTTACATATGTTAATACTACCGCTGGTTACAATGATCTCGTTGTAAAGTTTGCATATTCGTACATGAAGAACAACTCACCTGTCCACTGTAGAGAGAAGTCCTTATTAAGCAGGGAAGGGAACGCTTCCTTTACTCTCTGTCTGGCTAGATTAAAGGAGGTCACATCAGGGGGGACCCCGAACCGTCTGATCTCTGGTTGAGATCCCGGTCCTTTCGACAAGTATCCCTTGATCGTGAGAGCCATCTCTTTATTGTTCGTATCTTGACAATGTCTGTGTTATGATTGACGTGGCGGAGTCCTGCTTTTATATACAATCGTGGTCAGGTTGAAATGACGTCATGGTATAATGTATATTAATAGCAATCGAGGCCGTCCTAGTTATTGAGTCAGCCCACGTGATGATGTGTTATGACGGCCCTTCTCAACTTTGACCTCTGGTATCAACCAGTAGATTGTCGCGAGAGAGATCACGTGCTACCAAGGACGCTTCGAGAGTAAATAAGCGATTAGTCTCATCGGCACACCGTTGGTGACGACTTGGGGAAGTATTGTAAATGTTTTCATGGGTTACAAAACGTGTCTTTTCAAAAAGAGTTTCGTCAGATTACTTTCCAGTTTCCTTTGGAAATACTCAAACAAATATTCATAATCATGACAGAAATAAATTACATTCCAAATAAACCCATAATATAATCTCAATCTGTGAGGCGAGATATCAAATATAACCCAAGTGGATTCGAAAAACTGTCATTCGGTTTCATAATAAATGTGATATGATACATTTTATGAATCACCTGTGTAAATCATTTATATATATTAACGGAATATTGACATGATTTCAATCTCTAAAGGCGGACATTTAATTGTAACCTAAATGCGAGGCAAATATCCAAGATGTGTTTAAATGAATACACGGATCCATTGTACATAAACTCTCTGGTTCCTGGTTTATATTTAAGGGATAAATGCTGTTTGTTGTATAGACCGACATATCATTTCCTGATAAATCCACATTAACAAAGAAATCGTGACTTTTAAGAGGAAGCTGAAAATGGAAAATTACGTCAATCAAATCCGTTTTGGTATCGGTTTTAACTAACACTCCATGGTTATTTAACGTAAATCACGAATGTTTCCAGCAGAACTATTATCGAATGTTCCAGTGAGTTGACATATCGGTATATTACTTTTGATGAACACGTTGTGTATTTTGATGCTCAGATTAACATGTGCATGTTAGTTTTGACGAAATGTCATCTCAACATGCGTCACCATATAAGAGTTGCGTGGTAGTAATCACTGTGCGAAACTGTTTTGCTAGCCAGGCGGGCTAGCTATGCCTGAAAGTTACTAGCTCACAAAATAATTCACCAGCCCGAAATTCGAATGTAGAAACTAAGCAAAAGATTATAAAAGTAGATGAGAGCAAGATATTGTCGTCATGACACGGGTTTTATAATTAAACTGTTAATATAATGAATATTTTTATCAGGCCATACTCTTGCAGTTAAAAGTGTATTATAGAGAGAGTGATATATTTACAAAATGACCCCATGAAAATTCACTATAGCCAGTAGGGCCAGTGATAGTCTGTCGTACAGACCCTGAAGCAAATATATCCAAGAAAGCCCACGCAAGTCTAGAAAATGTGGCAAGTCTAGGTTTCCTCAGCTTCTGAAAATGAAGACTGACTGACTGAGTTTAGTTTTACGCCGCTTTTACCAATATTCCAGCAATATCACGGCGGGGGACACCAGAAATGGGCTTAACACATTGTGCCCATGTGGGGAATCGAACCCAGGTCTTCGGCGTGAGCCAACGCTTTAACCGCTAGGCTACCCCACCGCCCCTGAAAATGAAGAAAGTCTCAGGGCTCCTTTTCATTATGTTATATTTTTTTTTACTATGAACTTTTTTCAGTAAAATATGTTCATTTCAGAGACTAGTTGTTAGTCTAGGTCAGTGACTGTGGAGATATATTGGACCGACTGGAATTTTACTAGCCACGGGTTAGCGGGCCAGTGGCTATTTCGCACACTGGTAGTAATCTACAAATAATATGATATACCACTGTATGAAATAAGCCCAAACCCCAGTCAGACATCAGGGCTGGTAACTTCAAAATGTTACCAGCCCAAAATGGATTTAACCAGACCAGAGAATCCAAAGAAAAAACTAATTTTTTTTAGTTATTGCTTAGTCGCTGTTTTACTGATAATATAATGTCAGCGCAGTGCTTTGAGCTTGCGATATGATAGTTCAATGTTCAAAGATATTTCTGAATTCACTCAGATGTATATGGAACATGTTATCTAACATTTTTACCAGACAATCGGGCTGGCTAGCTGTAAATGTAGACCTTCCATCAGAAATCTGGCCCTTATTTCATACACTGAATTAATAACTTTGTTTAGGCTGTAAGGTAATATGCATTAATAATATTAACATATACACCTCTTTAAAAATATTAAGTAAGGTCAGATTCATAATGAAATGTAAATGGCTTCAAGAAATTGAAACTGTTTTTATTTCCAAGTCGACATTTTTGTATATATTTAGAAAGGTGAATGAAGTTTTAAGCCGCCTTTAGCAATATTCAAGCAATATCACGGAGGGGACACCAAAAATGAGCTTCACTTCACATATTGTACCTATGTGGGAAAATGAACTTTGCGTCCGTATTGTCATAATATTTTTATCACTCAATTCTTAATTGAGCCTTTAAAACGTTCATGTTTAGTTTTTTCATGCACATTTATTTCAGTTTGTCACTAAACGAAATATATACTTTGGCAATATTTCAGCCATATCGTGACTAAAACAGTAAATACTTTATAATTTTATTTGATAAAAATCTGTCGCCAAAGGACAGTAAAAAAACTAGTATATCACAGTTACAAATTTAAAACTATCATGTAACTTAAAAGTATAAACTATTTAGGACATTACAACATAAAAAATGGGCTATAAATCGCCAGCAGCTAAAGGCTGATCACCATACTAGAGACTATAATGGGGACTTATGGTACTTTTGCTACCTGCATGGACCCTAGTTGGATTTACACCATCCCTTCAGCCACTGGCGATTGCGGTCAAATCTAGCTTTAATTTTTTTTACCAAAATACTAGTTTAAGAATCGCGTCAGTTTAAATTTACTTTGAGAGTTTTGGGACTTACGTACCCTCTCAGGAGACTGAAAACAAGATTAAATACAAGGTAAAAATGTTACAAAACTGGACGGCAGAAGTGTTTATTTCTATTTTGCACGATATTTCATGACTATGAAAAACATGTGACGGAAACCAGTTTCACGCGCTCCCTGAAAGACAAAGATAATTAAATATCACCATCTCACAGATGTTTGTTTGACCGGAACAGAACATCAGGATCTAGGAAATATAGGAAGTGGGAGGCAGGATGTATGATAAGGCAGGCATTGACACGATGTTTCTAAAAACACACACGATAGATCAGACAAGACTAATTTAACATGAAACTACATTATCATGTAGTTTGAATTAAAATATGAATAAAAATATTCAAACTTTAAAACTGACACCTACGATTTAGTAATAATTTGTAAATGGTAATGTTATGTAAGTTACATTCTTGTTGGACAAAGTGTTAGGGACTGGTTATCTACTATATGAGTTTAACATCTGTGTGTAATGACGGACCTGTGAAGAGCTTTAGACACTATCTGTGTGTAATAGTTGCCCTGTGTGGAGCTTAGACATTATCAGTGTGTAATGGTTGCCCTGTGTGGAGCTCAGACATTATCTGTGTGTAGTGACAGCCCTGTGCGAAGCTGAGATATTATCTGTGTGTAACATTGGCCCTGTGTGGAGCTTAGACATTATCTGCGCGTAATGGCAGCTCTGTATGGAGCTTTGACATTATCTGTGTGTAATGGCCGACATGTGTGGAGCTGAAACATTATCTGTGTGTAACGCTACCCCTGTGTGCAAGTGTCTGTGACAGTGTCTGGGTGATGTGACACTGCTGCAGGATTGACATATACTGAGGGAAAAACATTTGGGATCACATGAAAGCACAAGTGTTCCTTTATTTTTGTCAGGTTTCTTCACAAGTTGTGCCATACAAAGCTTGTGAAGAAACCTGGGAAAAAATAGAGGAACACTCTGCTTTCATTCAATCCTTTATTTCCCCCCCTCAGTATATATCCAAAATGGCTACTGACAAAAAGAAGGAGTTTTGAAGACTTGACTCAAACCATGTGTGAACGTGAGCCTGATCTAGTGACGAGTCAGGACTTTGCTCCTAGTACCCTATAGGCTAAACCTTGCGTATGGAGGAGGCTTTCATAAATACTTAAATATAGATTATTTATTTGTGAATTAATATTAATGTTTATTGCATCTTGTCAAAGTCTAAAACATAATGTCTCATGGTTTAGGTGAATATAAAAAAGTTTCTATATACATATTATAACATTTGTATGAAAACAATAACAAAATATAGTCACTGATATAAGTGCATGTACTGCTGTATTCTCTACACTATTATATACAGGATTCACTCTCGCTTAGCCACAGTCTAACCAAAAAGGTCTCGTTAAGACAACATTGCACTATGGCCAGGTGAGAGATGCGAGCCAGGGCCCAGATTTTCGAAACTCTCTTAGCGCTAAGATAGTCGTAAGTTAATGTTAATGTATGGCACTTAAGACTATCTTAGCGCTCAGAGAGCTTCAAAAATCTAGGCCCAGGTAATTAGCAGGAGCCACTTCACTTTCTGTACCCATGCTGGGAACAGAGCCTGACCTTGTGACAAGTCAGTGTTTTACTAACACAGATGGTAAAGTCAGTAATACTTAAGTGTAATTAAAGTTCATACCAGGTCTGTATTTAAATGTGAGTAACCAACCACTGCATTCAACAACACAAATATTATTTGTGATAGACAAATATTTATTGCATTTTATCAAAGTAAAAAACATAATGTCTCATGGTTATCGAGTACAAAATGATTTCTATATACACATTATACAGGGTGTTACTCCATCTTCCATTTGTACCAAAACAACAAAATAAGATCACCTGACAGACATACAGATCTCTACACTATTATATACAGAGAGCAGAGAGTCATGACATCAAGTCAAACCAGGTGAGCTTCTTGTGTTTGAAACACAACCTGTCTAGAACGTATCCTGGACCTTCCCAACCAAGCCTGCCTTCTCATCGCTTCCTGCATCTGTTTAAACCAAACTGAAGATACAGATTGGTGAACAGATGACAAAAAATACTTTAAAAACCAAACGCAGGAGATGAAACATATCTGTCGATGGAGTTCTGCATGGAGTAAGCTCTAATCAGAACAAATCTTGTAAATGTAATATATATAAGCTAGTGTTGGGAATGGGAAACCAATTCCACTATCGATTATCAGAGGACTTGTTGGTGAACGATTATCGATTATAATCGAAGTATATACATTTTTAATGTAATCACCAATTTTAAGAGTTTTTACCCAGTTTTTTTCTAATGTTTTTTATTACTAATACTGTCATGCAATGAAATGCAAGAAAGACATTGGAATTGTAATGAAACAATAAAAGTGGTTAAATTTTAACAATGCACATAGCTTGATGCTGTTGAGCGCATGTTTGTTCGTGAATATTCATCAAATTTAATGGTAAGTGTTCACTTCATTCTAGTGAGTTATACTAAAACAACAAAATTCCAATTAATCGAAAATATGTTTTTTACAATCGATAATTATTTTGAAATCCTTTTTCGATTGATTTTCGATTATTTTCGATCATCGGAACACCACTAATATAAGCACAATTATTCAGCAGAAACTAACTTTGGGAATACTTCCAGTTGAAAAATATGTTATAAAGGAACACTTTCACTACAGAAACACATTCCCTGTTACACGAGTTAAACTATGAAAGGAAAAGTACACCTCTCTCATGCTCTATATGACCGCCTCCGTGGTGTAGTGGTTAGAGCGTCCGCCCGGAGAGCGGAAGGTCGCGGGTTCGATCCCCGACCGCGTCATACCAAAAGACGTTAAAATATGGTACTTGTTGGTCCCTACCTGGCGCTCGGCATTAATAGGTACAACAAGGACTGGTCGGCTGGGAGTCAGTATAATGTGTCTGAGTGGGGCATTCATGCTTCACTGCGGCATGGTATCTCAGTGGGCTAGCACTATAAAACCAGCTTAAGTCTGGGCTAGTACAAGCAGCCGCACATACACATACACACGCATGCACGTCGTCATATGAGCGAAATATTCTCAAGCACAATGTTAAACCCAATTTCACCTCACCTCACCTCACCTCACCTCACCTCACCTTCACCTCACTCTATGAATCTGAATGTTTTGCTGAGTATGGTACTGTCCAGAATATTGAGGTTCAGTGTAGTCCACTGTTGGCAAGAAATCATGATATATCGGTAGGCATTCACAGGTACTTCCTTATTTACCGATCAAGTGATGTGTTACACCAATTTTAGGAATTTTGCAATGGGGCAATACCAAACTTGGCATTCACAAGTTGTACTTTCATGGGATTCAAACTTGGGTTTATACAGTCATCGTTTCAAAAAGCCTAAAGACATGTACAGCACGTATGTTTGTAAGCAATTCACATAACAATAAAGACTTTGAGCAACTCATATAAAATTAGTATTGTAACAAATGCATACCAAACAGTGAATGGTATTTTGTAATAACAATCATTATTTGTTTCTACACATCATAACATAAGAGTTCCTGTATATAACTCATATCACACACTCAACAGTTCATATCACACACATATTCCTATTAATCACTCATATCACACACTCAACAGTTCATATCACACACATATTCCTATTAATCACTCATATCACTCTTACAACAGTTCATATCACACATGTATTCCCTTCTGTTGTGACCCTTCAGCCAATGAGTTCACTCTTTGTTTGGTTTGATGGCATCGAGCACCTGGCTGATGTCACCATTCTTGACCTCCAGGAGACGAGTGAGCCAGCCTCCGTCGTCAGAGAACCCCATCAACAACATCTGCTGGAGAGCATCGGCAATACGTGGATCTGGGAATATAACAGTAAATATAAACTTGCAGTCTCATACCGGTAAAAATATAAAGAAATACATGGCTGACAGGAATCGGTGTATGAAAGACCAGTGACCTATTCATCCTATCACTGCATCAGTTTTGAAAACAAAAACCCAAGAGGGTTCAACATGGAGGTGGGCCAACATCATCTGCCTGGCAGCGCCCTTCTCCACAGAGCTCTGTTAGTGGTAAGGGGACCTAACTTGCATACTTACCATACACTTGTAGTAGTCTTAGCAATGGTGCCGTGAGGAACCAAACTACAACAAGTAAATTAGTTCAATATCATACAATCCATAACATTGCAGATTAAGAATAAAACTATTCTGTCAGGTCACATCTCACCCCTTCTTCTGGGTGTCTGTCTCGGTCGCCTCACCTGATGGTGCCTTGTCGGAGTCCTTATCAGCTCCTTCCTCTGCTTGGTTACCTGGTTGCCAAGGGCACTGACCAAACATCTGGGCCATGAGGTTGCTGAAGAACTGTTGACCAGCCTGGGGGTTCACACCCTGGGGATGTCCATTGTGATCAACATCAATCCCTGAAAGATTAACCTTGAATTCGGGACATGGGGACAAAGTGACTCAGATGAAGAACTCAGTCATGAAATTAACTCCTTACCAAAAGGTGCAAGGAAGGCAGCAACAGATTGACCCGTGTTTTTCAGAAATTCCTCCTGTGGAGTAGTCTCCCCTTTGTTGTCTGTATCAGTCTTGTTTTCTTCATCATCACCAGAGGGAGCTCCTTCTCTTCCTTCGTTCCCTGGTTGCCAAGGGCACTGACCAAACATCTGGGCCATGAGGTTGCTGAAGAACTGTTGACCAGCCTGGGAGTTCACACCCTGGGGATGTCCATTGTGATCAACATCAATCCCTGAAAGATTAACCTTGAATTGATTTAAACAAATCATCCACAAAATCAGAAACACATGAAGTGATGTAACTGAACGTTTTTAAATATAAATATTCATCTGGTTACTGAGTGATAAAGAGGTGACATAACAAACATTGAGATTTTTTCACATGGGGACAAAGTGACTCAGATGAAGAACTCAGTCATGAAATTAACTCCTTACCAAAAGGTGCACGGAAGGCAGCAACAGATTGCCCCATGATTTTCAGAAATTCTTCCTGTGGAGTAGTCTCCCCTTTTTTGTCTGTATCAGTCTCGTTTTCTTCATCAGCACCAGAGGGAGCTCCTTCTCTTCCTTCGTTCCCTGGTTGCCAAGGGCACTGACCAAACATCTGGGCCACGAGGTTGCTGAAGAACTGTTGACCAGCCTGGGGGTTCACACCCTGGGGATGTCCATTGTCATCAACATCAATCCCTGAAAGATTAACCTTGAATTGATTTAAACAAATCATCCACAAAATCAGAAACACATGAAGTGATGTAACTGAACGTTTTTAAATATAAATATTCATCTGGTTACTGAGTGATAAAGAGGTGACATAACTAACATGGAGTTTTTTTCACATGGGGACAAAGTGACTCAGATGAAGAACTCAGTCATGAAATTAACTCCTTACCAAAAGGTGCAAGGAAGGCAGCAACAGATTGACCCGTGTTTTTCAGAAATTCCTCCTGTGGAGTAGTCTCCCCTTTGTTGTCTGTATCAGTCTCGTTTTCTTCATCATCACCAGAGGGAGCTCCTTCTCTTCCTTCGTTCCCTGGTTGCCAAGGGCACTGACCAAACATCTGGGCCATGAGGTTGCTGAAGAACTGTTGACCAGCCTGGGAGTTCACACCCTGGGGATGTCCATTGTGATCAACATCAATCCCTGAAAGATTAACCTTGAATTGATTTAAACAAATCATCCACAAAATCAGAAACACATGAAGTGATGTAACTGAACGTTTTTAAATATAAATATTCATCTGGTTACTGAGTGATAAAGAGGTGACATAACAAACATTGAGATTTTTTCACATGGGGACAAAGTGACTCAGATGAAGAACTCAGTCATGAAATTAACTCCTTACCAAAAGGTGCACGGAAGGCAGCAACAGATTGCCCCATGATTTTCAGAAATTCTTCCTGTGGAGTAGTCTCCCCTTTTTGTCTGTATCAGTCTCGTTTTCATCAGCACCAGAGGGAGCTCCTTCTCTTCCTTCGTTCCCTGGTTGCCAAGGGCACTGACCAAACATCTGGGCCACGAGGTTGCTGAAGAACTGTTGACCAGCCTGGGGGTTCACACCCTGGGGATGTCCATTGTCATCAACATCAATCCCTGAAAGATTAACCTTGAATTGATTTAAACAAATCATCCACAAAATCAGAAACACATGAAGTGATGTAACTGAACGTTTTTAAATATAAATATTCATCTGGTTACTGAGTGATAAAGAGGTGACATAACTAACATGGAGTTTTTTTCACATGGGGACAAAGTGACTCAGATGAAGAACTCAGTCATGAAATTAACTCCTTACCAAAAGGTGCAAGGAAGGCAGCAACAGATTGACCCGTGTTTTTCAGAAATTCCTCCTGTGGAGTAGTCTCCCCTTTGTTGTCTGTATCAGTCTTGTTTTCTTCATCATCACCAGAGGGAGCTCCTTCTCTTCCTTCGTTCCCTGGTTGCCAAGGGCACTGACCAAACATCTGGGCCATGAGGTTGCTGAAGAACTGTTGACCAGCCTGGGAGTTCACACCCTGGGGATGTCCATTGTGATCAACATCAATCCCTGAAAGATTAACCTTGAATTGATTTAAACAAATCATCCACAAAATCAGAAACACATGAAGTGATGTAACTGAACGTTTTAAATATAAATATTCATCTGGTTACTGAGTGATAAAGAGGTGACATAACAAACATTGAGATTTTTTCACATGGGGACAAAGTGACTCAGATGAAGAACTCAGTCATGAAATTAACTCCTTACCAAAAGGTGCACGGAAGGCAGCAACAGATTGCCCCATGATTTTCAGAAATTCTTCCTGTGGAGTAGTCTCCCCTTTTTTGTCTGTATCAGTCTCGTTTTCTTCATCAGCACCAGAGGGAGCTCCTTCTCTTCCTTCGTTCCCTGGTTGCCAAGGGCACTGACCAAACATCTGGGCCACGAGGTTGCTGAAGAACTGTTGACCAGCCTGGGAGTTCACACCCTGGGGATGTCCATTGTGATCAACATCAATCCCTGAAAGATTAACCTTGAATTGATTTAAACAAATCATCCACAAAATCAGAAACACATGAAGTGATGTAACTGAACGTTTTTAAATATAAATATTCATCTGGTTACTGAGTGATAAAGAGGTGACATAACTAACCATAATATGGAAAGGTATTACTGTAACAAACAAAGAGGAACTGCAAGAAAGATGGTGGCTAAAATGAAACAAACAAAAAATGGTTCTTCCAGGGCAAAGAGTGTTTTGGCAACAGTTCACATCCTAATAATGATTTGATGAAGTTGAATGAAATCATTTTAGATGGTAAAATAGTTAATTATTAAATGATTTTCTTTTATGTATGTATTAATGTGTTTTGTCTGCTTTCTTAACAGTATGTGTCTGTTTTACCAAAATATTCTATCTGCTTAGTCTCCCTTATTGGTGATAAAATGATAAAGGCTGTACCATATTACAATGTTCAACATATCTTTACAGAGTAGAAACTAGCATGACAATATAAACATTTATCATGTAGCTAGTACCAAGCATTAGCCCCATGAAACTGGATACAATATTTAATATTGACACTGGTATGAAGTAAGAAAGCTCTGTTAAATACACTTTTGTAACAAGAAAAAACGAAAGTAGAACCCATTGCTCTATGACTCTACACTGGAATGGAGTTTCCAAACACTTTGAATCTGTGTAGTTTGTCTGCTTACAATACCTCATCATGGACTTTTATACACTGAATATACCAGTTCTCTTTGAACATAGAATCTCATGATGGATATCACATTCATTGATATGCCTAGTCAAGACAGACTCACTTTTGATGTAAATTCGGAACACTGAGTCTGTAACAAACCCCAGAGCTTCAAGAAGTTCCTCATCAGATGAAAATGATACTAGGTCACCATCACTATCTGAAAGAACAAACAGATTCATTGCAAACTATTTCCTTGTCATGTAGATGTAGTCAGCTCATATCATGCTGTACATCAAGTGACGGAGCCCAAAGTAGCTTCATTATCTAGTCTGCTACTGATCCACCTGGGGTGCCTCCTATTTTGCACCACAATAATTCTTTACATATCACATTGATACTTAACCTTGAAGTGAAATTACATGTAGCAATATGGTATGTTTTAAGCAAGTTCATACATATACATAGCATTTTCAACAGCGTATCTCAGAAATTAGTAGGTTCTTTTTCTTTGTTCCGTAAGTAGATGTGTCAGTGAGGTGCACTGATTTGATGAACTGATATCTTCTGCCTGCATGAACAGAACTATTTCCTTTCTAGTACTATGTATTAAAAATTTGCCTCTTGTCACCCCCATTCTTCCTAAGAGTGCCATTAATGGTATGAGAAGATAAAATGTATGGCTGAAACAACTTGTGTACAATGCCACCTTTTGTACATGGGAAAATTGGGCATGGCCAGGTTGTTGAAATATGTACCTGATTGACATAACATAAATACATGTTACAAGATCCCAAACACATTCATTTCACACAACATTTATCTTTTCCGACTTGATATATCCAAGGTATTGTAAAATTTAGATCGGCTCTGACACTTGAGGTGTTAAAATATTTTACCAGATGCTTTCTGAATTCATTTTTTTCTGATACAAGGCCTAAAGAAATATCCAAATATTTCAATATCGATCGTTTGAGAAAAGGGCGTAATAGCTGTATATGCCATAAGTATAGACAAACTTTATGGATAACAACTTTTTTAATTCACGAGTGCGACGTTTCTATACAGATTCTTGTACCGTTGTCAAGCAGGAATATCGAAACATCACACTCGGGAAATCAAGAAGTTGTTATTTATAAAGTTTCCCTATATTGTACTTCCCAACTTCTAAAATGCCACTCAAAGAGGATGTATATGTATAGTGTATCTTTACCTTTCCAGTAGAGGTAAAAGTTTCCTCTGACAAGTCCAGGAAACACTTCCGATATCTTCTTGAACAGGTAGTCGAACCTGGTAGAAGCATCTGACGGGACAACAAAACGTCGGACCTCGGGTTGACTCGAACCCTCTCGCTCCAGGGAGGCCTTGATGACAACTGAGTCGGACATGACAGCGGGTTTACTTTGGAAGTGTTGACGGCAGGCCTACACAGTAGTATTCAAGCAGACGATAAGGTGACAGTTGTTGTCAGTTGCGCTTCCGTGTGTTCAGCGTCGTATGGCGTTGTCAGCGGGATAGGAGCCCGCCTCACATCTACCCAGACTTTTATATAGACCAAGGCGCACTGACAATGTCTAAATTTATCAAAATTGCAAGTAACGCTGATCGAGAATTGTTCAAATATTGGTTCACTACGCAGCTTCCGACAGAACGTAAACAAGATTTCCTTTGTAATCGCTATAAATAGCTCCACCTAACAGTGAATTCTCTCCTTTTGATTGTAAAAGAACAGTCTAGATAAATTTCATCAGAAAATCAGTTGAAATAAACTATTGAAGCAAACTGTTGGCTTGTGTGTACGGAAGCGCTGAAGGGACCTTATGAAATAAAATGTATATTGAGCGCACAAGTTAGTATCTTGGGCGCACAAGTTAGTTATCTTGAGCGCACAAGTTAATATATTGAGCGCTCAAGTTAGTTATTTTGAGCGCACAAGTTAACATCTTGAGCGTACAAGTTAAAATCTTGAGCGCACAAGTTAGTGTCTTGAGCACACAACTTAATATTAAACAAGTTAGAATGTTGAGCACTTAACTTTGTGTTTAGCATCTAATGGCATTACTGCAACGCACGTTTGCTTGACTGCTGGCTAAAATGTACAATGTTATAGCCTTTTTGGAAGATTTCAAACCATGCAAAGTCGGAGATAACTAGGTGCTTATGATGAGACTATGTAAAAGTATGCAAATTTATCATGAACACTTATAATGTTTATGTAAATGTTCATCGTCTTTATGCTTGTCAATACTACGGAAGCGCTGAAGGGACCTGATGAAATATAATTTATCTTGAGCGCACAAGTTAGTATATTGAACGCACAAGTTAGTATATTGAGCGCACAAGTTAGTATATTGAGCGCACAAGTTAATATCTTGAGCGCACAAGTTCATATCTTGAGATACACTGCTCCATAAGCAGTTCATGTGGAAGCAAGGAGGAGCGGAAACGCGAGCTGATTCATGCTTTTTTCAGTCTTGGGTTCCAATACAAACACATAACACATCTTCTTGTCAAAAATCATGGTATAGTATAGTACGCCACTTGAAGCGTATTCTGAGGTGTATGTCCCTCTTTCGTACCAGATACCAGATTTGCTGATGTTACAGTGAGTGAGTGAGTACGGTTTACACCGCTTTTAGCAATATTCCAGCAATATCACGGTGGGGAACACGAGAAATGGGCTGCACACATTGTACCCATGTGAAATAAAGTCGGTATATATGCTATACGTGCACATACTAATGGATCAAATTAATCAGGCGGGTTTTATATGATATTGTACAGAGTTAAACTGCCATTGGTATACCCACGTTAGGAAACATTACTGATACATGCAAACCAAGACTACAGACTATAGTTCCCTGAAAGTGGTCGACTTTACTTCCAATACATCAGATATCAGATTTATAATTAAGATAATTAAGTATAACACTCAATGTTTACATTTTTCATGGTCATGTAATACTATATATACATAATAAAGCCGTAGCACAAAACAAGTTATCCAAGCTTTACGCTAGTGTTCATAATACTATGTACCAATATAAGAAGTAAGTCAAGCCACTATTCATCCCTGCAATAAACTCCTACTCATGTTTATGTTTTAATTCTTATTATGACATTACACATACCTAGGCCTGTTTTATGTAATAAAGCAAAAAGTGGTAAAATCAGATACAAAGAATAGTATTGACAAGCATAAAGACAATGAACGTTTACAGAAACATTATCAATGTTCATGATACATTTGTATACTTTTACATAGTCTAATCATAAACACCTATAGTTAACTCCGACTTTGCATGGTTTGAAATCTTCCAAAAAGGATATAAGTTTGTACATTTTAGCCAGCAGTCAAGCAAATGTGCGTTCCATTAATGCCATTAGATGCTAAACACGAAGTTGAGCGCTCAAGATATTAACTTGTGCGCTCAAGATACTAACTTGTGCGCCCAAGATAACTAACTTGTGCGCCCAAGATAACTAACTTGTGCGCTCAAGATAAGTAACTTGTGTGCTCAAGATATAAACTTGAGCGCTCAAGATAAGTAACTTGTGTGCTCAAGATATTAACTTGAGCGCTCAAGATATTAACTTGTGCGCTCAAGATACTAACTTGTGCGCTCAAGATAACTAACTTGAGCGCTCAAGATATTAACTTGTGCGCTCAAGATAATTTTTATTTCATGAGGTCCCTTCAGCACTTCCGTATATGTGTCATCCAGAAATACTGTTATTTATCTTACCCGGAAACTTTTCATTGATAATGAAAATCACGCGACAATTTCGTTTTACCAGGGTGACTATATATGTTGTAGATTATCCCTGGTTTTACAAGTAATTAACGCGTACCTGTAATCACAGACCGCATTCTTATTACATTGTCTCTGCTGTTCTACAGCAGGGATAATCTACAACATACGTTATATAGTCTCCCTGTCTACAGTGATTGTTTTATTATCCGACATTTTCCCATTTGATAAAACAGTTATGTTTATTTGAGAAATGTAGTTGAAAAAAACACCCCGGTTAACTTTTGCATATCGTTAGGGGAACTATCACTACCCGAGAAGATCCCAACCTTGTATATTGTACGGACGCTTCACACATTTTGGATAACGGAATCGTTACAAATGACATGGAAGCTTGTATCCGTAAAGTGCGTATTCGTACACAGTGACTGATATCAGAGTTAACTGTTTGTGTGGCACAATGAATGTGTCAACTGGAAAGTGATAGTCACCAGGTTATTTTGTAAATCAACAGTCTTAGCATCTCTTTTAGGTGAGTGAGTGAGTGGGGGAAGGGATCGAGCGAGCAAGCAAGTAAAAACAAGAACAATCAAGCAAACACCGAATGTTGAAGAAGCGCCCGTTGGACACTTAAAATATCCAATATGTATGCAACATCTACAACATGAGAGGCGGCAGGATAGCCATGTGGTTAAAGTGTTCGCTCGTCACGCCAAAGGCCCTGGTTCGACTCCCCACTTGGATACAATATGTGAAGCCGATTTCTAGCGTCCCCCGCCATGATAAAACTCACTCACTCACTAACCCTACCATCCAAAAGGAGACAGTTTATAAACTCTGCCCCGGAATGGAATGATTTAAGGACTATTAGTGTTATGTACATCTTTCTTTACGAGTGAGTGAGTGAGTGAGTATGTTATTAAGTCGCTTGTAGCAATGTCTTAGCAATATCACGGCGGGGGACACCAGAAATGGGCTTCACACATCGTACCCATGTGGGGAATGGAACCCGAGACTTCGGCGTGACAAGCGAACGCTTTAACCACTAGGCTACCCCAGGTAGGTAGGTATATAAGGTTTTAGGGCGACCTTGGGCCTTAAAAGGCCTATATGCGCCCAACCCAAATTACACAACCCAAATTACATCGTACTTACCCGTTTTAACGAGGAAGTCTAAAACAGCTCTTTGTATGCAACCATACATTAAATTATCGCCAAGTATTGCGTTCATTGGAAAAGTATTTGGGGTTTTGTTAAGCACAGTTTCTTTAAGAGCCTTACGTGGGTTTTCATGAGCTGGACATTCAATGAGGTAGTGCTGAACTGTTTCTGGGCAGTGTCTTTATCTAAAATACTTCTATATGCTTTTAATCCACAATGTCCCAGCCTGAGACGAGTTAAAACAACTTCATCTCTGCGACAACGCCGACGAATTTTAAAATGTTTGTTTACTACAGGACAAGTAGAGTACATGTGTCTACCTGTAGTTTCATTATCCCATTTATTTTGCCAAGATGTAGTTATTGAAGATGAAATGACAAACCAGTAATCTCTTGGAATGGGCTTAATTGAATGAATATCTGGTTGTGGTCTGTTGCAAGCCATCTTAGCAATTGTGTCAACTACTTCGTTTCCAGCTAAACCAACATGTGCAGGAATTCAAACAATATCACAGCTGATATACAAGATGTCGTATAGTATGTCACTGCGTGGACCTTGTACACCTGATTGAATTGCTTGTACAGCTGACAACGAATCAGTAAAAATTATTGCTTCGTGTTCATTATCTTTTACCCATTTAAAGCTTGAAGTATGATGTCAGTTCTGCTGCAAATACAGACAGATGATCAGTCAATCTAAATCTTTTTGATAAACCATACCGCTCCCTTGTTATTATCTCCCTTGGACCACAGATTCCGCTTTGGGTCTGATCAGATAACTTTGGATAGGTATAGGTTATGATGTATGGTTATGGGGGATATATTTCTGTATGTCCTTGGAGGTTTTATGTCTCTGGGGTGTGGGTACATGGTGAAAACACCCGGTGTTTATATTTTACTGTGCACAATTGCGTTTCTCGGCGTGTCAGAATTATGTTTCCATAGATATATTATACAATATCTACACGTTTCACCAGTTGTAAAAGTCCGAGACGTGCATGTCCGAGACGCCATGTTATAACTAAGATACAATTCAAAGTGTCACTCTCAACTCACTCACTCACTCTGTTAACATCAAAATATGTCCTCTTGTTGTTTCCGTCAGTTTCGGAGTTTTATGTAAATATCGGTGATATTTGATTGATATATTTTGGCCTTGATTGCTTTTCAGCAGAACATGCTTGTCGTAAGAGGCGGCTATCGGGTTCGGCTACATGTCATCGTATCCCAATTGCATAGATCGATGCTCATGCTGTTGATCACTGATTTACAGACCACCGTCATGTCGTGGGAATGTTGCTGATTTACGCGTTAGACAACAAACAAACTAGTTATAATTTGGATTCAAATGACTGAAAAGAATATTGTTTGGTGTATTGCATGACGATGATTAAAATAAACAGGGGCTTATTCAATGGTTTGATCACTTGATTGTCTGGTCCAGACTCGATTATTTACAGACCAAGTCTCACAGGTGAAATATTTACGATTGAAGACACGTGGGTTATCGATTATCCAGCGTATAATATACCATTAAAAAAAGTAGGGGATATTGGATTTACAAGACTGATAAAATGCAAATGATGAAGCCAAAGAGGAAAGAGATGATGAAGAGAAATTAAGGGACAATGTGACAATTTATTCCATTCCTTTGGAAATGTTTCATCTCTCTCCATATATATTACTTTTTCTCATATGCATTGGCATTGGCTAGTGGTATGCTCGCAAAATGGAATATCCCCTGCTTTGTTTGAATGGTATATTTCCATTACAATATGTAAAGAGTAATGGAATGGAACTAAAGGATGGTAATCATTATGCTCAGAGGGAAGAAATACAAAAAATGTTTGGTGTTTATTTGGGTAAAGTAATCTTTAAGTACAACGAGGAGAGTTCTATTGAAATACAACTTCTTTAAAATAATATGAGCGACGTTTGTGTAGCTACTAACACCGTTATCGATCAAGTGATGTACAATTAATGGGAGGAAGCCAGTGATATGACAGACAGGAGAATAATGGGATTAAGATTGCTTGGTGATGAGTTGGTTGCAGGCAGTGGGAATGTAATATCCTTGTATATCAATAGAACACTCCTCGTTGTTCATTGCACCAACTTCTAAATGCCACTCAAACAAGTTAATCTTTAAGTACTCAAATAGGCCAGAAGCTGTTTAAGGAAGTTCGGAAGTGTTGATATTGCTGGATGCGGTATCTCAAGGGTCCAGCCAGGAAGTCTGGATGTCAACGTGTTGGAATACTTTGTGTGATGATTACCTTGTGTGGAGCTCTGACATTGTCTTTGTGTGATGGTTATACCTTGTGTGGAGCTCTGACATTGTCTCTGTGTAATGATACGGAGACATTCACTTTGTGTGATGATTACCTTGTGTGGAGCTCTGACATTGTCTCTGTGTAATGATAGGGAGACATTGTCTTTGTGTGATGGTTATACCTTCTGTGGAGCTCTGACATTGTGTCTGTGTGATGATAGGGAGACATTGTCTTTGTGTGATGGTTATACCTTCTGTGGAGCTCTGACATTGTCTCTGTGTAATGATACGGAGACATTGTCTCAGTGTGATGGTTATACCATGTGTGGAGCTCTGACATTGTCTCTGTGTAATGATACGGAGACATTCACTTTGTGTGATGGTTATACCTTGTGTGGAGCTCTGACATTGTCTCTGTGTAATGGTACGGAGACATTGTCTTTATGTGATGGTTATACCTTGTGTGGAGCTGACATAGCCTCTGGTGTAATGGTACGGAGACATTGTCTTTATGTGATGGTTATACCTTGTGTGGAGCTGACATTGTCTCTGGTGTAATGGAACGGAGACATTGTCTTTATGTGATGGTTATACCTTGTGTGGAGCTGACATAGCCTCTGGTGTAATGGTACGGAGACATTGTCTTTATGTGATGGTTATACCTTGTGTGGAGCTGACATTGTCTCTGGTGTAATGGTACGGAGACATTGTCTTTATGTGATGGTTATACCTTGTGTGGAGCTGACATTGCCTCTGGGGTAATGGTACGGAGACATTGTCTTTATGTGATGGTTATACCTTGTGTGGAGCTGACATTGTCTCTGGTGTAATGGAACGGAGACATTGTCTTTATGTGATGGTTATACCTTGTGTGGAGCTGACATTGTCTCTGGTGTAATGGTACGGAGACATTGTCTTTATGTGATGGTTATACCTTGTGTGGAGCTGACATTGCCTCTGGGTAATGGTACGGAGACATTGTCTTTATGTGATGGTTATACCTTGTGTGGAGCTGACATTGTCTCTGGTGTAATGGAACGGAGACATTGTCTTTATGTGATGGTTATACCTTGTGTGGAGCTGACATTGCCTCTGGTGTAATGGTACGGAGACATTGTCTTTATGTGATGGTTATACCTTGTGTGGAGCTGACATTGTCTCTGGTGTAATGGTACGGAGACATTGTCTTTATGTGATGGTTATACCTTTGTGTGGAGCTGACATTGTCTCTGGTGTAATGGTACGGAGACATTGTCTTTATGTGATGGTTATACCTTGTGTGGAGCTGACATTGTCTCTGGTGTAATGGTACGGAGACATTGTCTTTATGTGATGGTTATACCTTGTGTGGAGCTGACATTGCCTCTGGTGTAATGGTACGGAGACATTGTCTTTATGTGATGGTTATACCTTGTGTGGAGCTGACATTGTCTCTGGTGTAATGGTACGGAGACATTGTCTTTATGTGATGGTTATACCTTGTGTGGAGCTGACATTGTCTCTGGTGTAATGGTACGGAGACATTGTCTTTATGTGATGGTTATACCTTGTGTGGAGCTGACATTGCCTCTGGGGTAATGGTACGGAGACATTGTCTTTATGTGATGGTTATACCTTGTGTGGAGCTGACATTGCCTCTGGTGTAATGGTACGGAGACATTGTCTTTATGTGATGGTTATACCTTGTGTGGAGCTGACATTGCCTCTGGGGTAATGGTACGGAGACATTGTCTTTATGTGATGGTTATACCTTGTGTGGAGCTGACATTGCCTCTGGTGTAATGGTACGGAGACATTGTCTTTATGTGATGGTTATACCTTGTGTGGAGCTGACATTGCCTCTGGGGTAATGGTACGGAGACATTGTCTTTGTGTGATGGGTATACCTTGTGTGGTACGGAGACACTGTCTGTGTGATGAAGGTAATCATTGACTGCTAGACTGACATACATCTCACATAATTATTATTCCAGCAATATTATGGTGGGAGACACGATTCTACTTCTGCTTCACTTCTGTACCCATGTCAGGAATAGAACTGATATTGTGACAAGTGATCGCTTTATATCACTAATGTCACGGTAATGTCACTAATACTTAACTGTAATTGAAGTTGATACCAGGTCTGTATTTAAGTGTGAGTAACCAACCACTGCATTCAACAACACAAATATTATTTGTGATAAGACACATATTTATTGCATTTTATCAAAGTCAAAAACATAATGTCTGATGGTTATCGAGTACAAAACGGTTTCTATATACACATTATACAGGGGGTTACTCCATCTTCCATTTGTACCCAAACAAGATAAGATCACTGACAGACATGCAGCTGTATTCTCTCCACTATTATATACAGAGAGAGCAGAGAGTCATGACATCAAGTCAAACCAGGTGAGCTTCTTGTGTCTGAAACACAACCTGTCTAGAACATATCCTGAACTTCTCAATCAAGTCTACATTCTCATCACTTCCTGCATCTGTTTAAAAACCTTACTGACGACACAGATTTGTGAAGAGACGACAGAAATACTGAAAACATGTTTAACCACGTAAGGTAAAAATACACATCACTCATGCTTTGTGAATCTGAATGATTAACTGAGTACAGTACTGTTCTGATTAATGAGGCTTTAGTGTAGTCCACTGACGGCAAGAAGTCATAACATATCAGTAGGCAGTCACAGGTAGTTCTATATGTACAGCACTTGTGAGATTGTACATCACTATTAGGAATTAGGTATTCCTATCTATCACAAATATCACACTTTCAACAGTTCATATCCCATACATAACCTATATCAATCAGGCATATCACACTTTCAACAGTTTATATCACACATGTATTTCCTCCTGTTGTGACCCTTCAGCTAATGAGTTTATTCTTTGTTTGGTTTCATGGCATCGAGCACCTGGCTGATGTCACCATTCTTGGCCTCCAGGAGATGAGTGAGCCAGCCTCCGTCGTCAGAGAACCCCATCAACAACATCTGCTGGAGAGCATCGGCAATACGTGGATCTGGGAATATAACAGTAAATCTAAACTTGCAGTCTCATAACGGTAAAAAGATAAAGAAATACATGGCTGACAGGAATCGGTGTATGAAATGCCTGTGACCTATTCATCATTATGGGATCAGTTTGTGAAAACAGATATCCAAGGCTTTTTAAATAAAAGTGGGTCAGTATCTTTAACCAAAATTTTAGGAAAGATCTTGCAGAAGGTATGGCCCAGTTGCAATCATGGTGAAAAGGTTATTAGAACGTCCTTACTTTAACATACACTGATGACAGTCTTAGTCCTAAGATCACTTTGTGCAAGGGATACAGGCATGCCCATCTACAAAGGTCTTGGCCACCGACCTGTCTGTTTGTTTAACATTGAATTTTTACATAAAAATCCTAAGATTAACCAGAGCCACTACATTGCAGATTGAGAATGAAACTGTTCTGACAGGTCACAACTCACCTGGATGACCTGTGAGTGGGGAGGAGCATGCAGTGTCGGACAGCAGAGTCCATCCATCACCCGATGAGTGCCCCTTCTTCTGGGTGTCTGTCTCGGTCGTCTCATCTGATGGTGCCTTGTCGGAGTCCTTCTTATCAGCTCCTTCCTCTGCTTGGTTACCTGGTTGCCCAGGGCACTGACCAAACATCTGGGCCATGAGGTTGCTGAAGAATTGTTGACCAGCCTGGGGGTTCACACCCTGGGGATTGACACCCTGGCGACGTCCATTGTGCTCAATATCAACATCCACATCAATCCCTGAAAATTTAAAATTGGAATAATTTAAACAAATAACAAATTATTCTGATAAATCAGAAACATTACTGAATGTTTTATATAGGAATATTCATCTGGTTTCTGAGTGATGACGAGATGACATAGCTAACACTGAGATTTGCTCATATGGTGACAGAGTGACTCAAATGACGAACGTGAAAATAGAGAGTCACTTTTCAGTCATGAAATTAACTTCTTACCAAAAGGTGTAAGGAAAGCAGCAACAGATTGTCCCATGTTTCTCAGATATTCTTCCTGTGGAGTAGTCTCCCCTTCCTGTGGAGTAGTCTCCCCTTTCTTGTCTGTATCAGTCTTGTTTTGTTCATCAGCACCAGAGGGAGCTCCTTCCTTGTTGGTGCCACATCCCGGGTGCTGGTTTTGGAACTGGCTCATGAAGTTGTTCATCCACTGATGGCAGTGTGGCGGAACCATGAAGGGCTGTACAGTTGAAATATGGAAGTGAGTGTCAAGGTTACACTTAAGTGAGTGAGTGAGTTTAACTTTATGTCACTTTTACCAATATTCCATCAATATCATGGCAGGTGACACCAGAAATGAGCTTCACACGTTGTACCCATGTGGGGATTCGAACCCGGGTCACTCACTCACTCCAGAAACTGTACCTTTGCATCTCAAACTTGAATATGAATTACAAATTTCTGTTTCTTGTAAAAATGATAAAAGTTCAAAACTTTAAAAGCAGCAAAATTATTCAAAGGCAAAGACATATTTCTTTCTTCAGTGCAAATTTCCATAAAATATATAAAACCATTCTTTTAACTTTACTTCCAGCTGTAATCCTCACATAATCGATACAGGGATTTTCATGAGCTGTGGAATCCTCATAATTTGACTTACTCATTTTGCTCTGATATGTAAAGGTTGATACTTCAAAAAACATATATGAACAAGTCATAATGAAGTCATAGCCTAAACTTGTTTCGGTATATAATGAAAGTATGTACAAAAAGACTGCTCACCATTCTGCCACCACACCTGGCTGACTTTGGAGAGACAATCTTCCACATGTCATGTTGAGGGTGAGTGTTTTGAGCCTCACACTGGCTGCACAGGTCGTAGTCGGGGCACACCAAACACTTGTACCTCACACCATACACTGCTCCTTCACAGCCGTCACAGATCACATGAGGATGCAGCTCCCCACTGCCACTCTTGGAGCTGTGGGTCTGAGGGGCGTACTCTACAAACAGATTCAGTTCATGAATAATATGGAAAGGTACTGTAACAAACGAAGAGGAACTGCAAGAACTGAACTGATAGGCAAAAGAAAGCTTAAGAGAGTACACGCCCATGTTGAGGATGGCTAAATAGGAAACAGATAAGAAATACAGGTATTGTTATACTTCGGATGTTCTGAGACGGTTTTAAGCCTAGTAATATTCTGATAGTATTTGTGAAATTCAAATTATTAAACTTATGCTTACATATCTTTATGGTGTATATATTTAACAACTACACACTATTAAGGAAATAGATAAATTACACTTATAATATAGATGTAACAAATGAAACTTTATGAAAATAACTATATTAAAATTTAAATTAACACAATTTAATCAACTGTTTAGCCATCAAACTAAACTACCAGGAAAAGCAAAAGGATGGATTGTTCCAGAATTTGGTTTACTGTAATAACCAATACCATGAATAGTGTATGGATGTATGTTTGGCATGTTCAGTAAACATTAATATATGATCATGGTTTTGGATGAAAGAAATCATGTATTACAATGTTGTAAATAGTTCGAAACAACCAACAATGTATTCTCCCTTATTGGTGATAAAATGATAAAGGCTGTACCATATTACAATGTTCAACATATCTTTACAGAGTAGAAACAAGCATGACAATATCTACATTTATCATATAGCTAGTATGGAACATTAATCCCATAAAGCTGAATACAAATGTTGACCCTGGTGTGGTGTGCAAACTAGCATTACAATAACCACATTATCCCACCGATGAATCTAACAAATGTGCACATTCATAGATATAAATATTGACACTGGTGTGATGTTTGTAAGCTCGGTTAAACACATTTTTTTCACAAGATCAAATGAAACATACAAAAGGTATAAAAGATGAACTCAGTGCACTATGACACAATACCTCTTGATGGATATTTTATACACTGAATATACTGGTTTGATTGCACAATGAATATAGTATCTAATGAATATTCCATAAACTAAATATTCCAATTTGGTGACAGACTCACTTTTGATGGAAATTCTGAACACTGAGTCTGTAACAAACCCCAGAGCTTCAAGAAGTTCCTCATCAGATGAAAATGATACTAGGTCACCATCACTATCTGAAAGAACAAACAGATTCATTTAAAACTATTTCCTTGTCATGTGGAAGTAGTTATCTCATATCATGCTGTAAATATGTCCTCAACCTTGTTTCCTTGTTATTTATTGTCACTTACAGTGCTTCTCACATCTAATACTAGATTACAATACAAGGAAGATACATATTATATGCAGTACCTTGACGAGTTAGATTTATTATCACTTGCAGTCATATCAGCTGATTATGGTGAAATATGGACCTTATTGACATAACATAAACAAAGATTCACAATACATTCAAATAATATTTATTTATTCTAACATCATTTATCAGAGTTTCTGTTCAATTTATAATATGTATGTAGGTCTCTTATATCTGCAGATCTAGACTAATGCTTAGTCTCTGAATACATATAATTTTGATAGTAACAAACAAGCCCATATAAATTGATAAGGAGCCCCAGGGAGACCAGAGATTACCTTAGGAAATCTAGACTTGCTTTATTTAGGGCTTGGCAGTTGGGAAAATAATCTGGTTCAGGGACTGTCAGACAAACTACTGCAGATCCACTGAGCTGGCTGAACTTGTGTGTGGTCACAAATATTGTGACATAAGACACTTGGGTTGTGGAATTAGTTTACTATTAGACTAACAACTAGTCTCTGAAACGAACATATTTTACTGAAAATAGTTCATAGTAAACAAATATATATATAATGAAAAGGAGCCGTGAGACTTTCTTCATTTTCAGAAGCTGAGGAAATCTAGACTTGCCACATTTTCTAGACTTGCGTAGGCTTTCTTGGATACATTTGCTTCAGGGTCTGTACGACAGACTAGTTTTCTATATGCTTTCTGAGTTTCATTTCATGATACAAAGCCTAAGAAAATATCCAAATCTGTCACCAGTTATAGTTTGAAAAAAGGCGTAATAGGTGTAAATGTATATTTACCTTTCCAGTAGAGGTTAAAGTTTCCTCTGACAAGTCCAGGAAACACTTCCGATATCTTCTTGAACAGGTAGTCGAAGCTGGCAGAAGCATCTGACGGGACCCCAAAACGTCGGATCTCGGGTTGACTCGAACCCTCTCGCTCCAGGGAGGCCTTGATGACAACTGAGTCGGACATGACAGCGGGTTTACTTTGGAAGTGCAGCGACGAAGTGTTGACGACAGGCGTACACAGTAGTATTCAAGCAGACGATAAGGTGACAGTTGTTGTCAGTTGCGCTTCTGTGTGTTCAGCGTCGTATGGCGTTGTCAGCGGGATATATGCCCCCCTCACATCTACCCAGACTTTTATATAGACCAAGGCGCACTGACAATGTCAAAATTTATCAAAATTGCAAGTAACGCTGATTTAGATTTGTTCAAATATTGGTTCACTACGCAGCTTCCGGCGGAACGTAAACAAGATTTTTGTTTGTAATCGCTATAAATAGCTCCACCTAACAGTGAATCCTTTCCTGTGGATTGTAAAGAACAGTCTAGATAAATTTCATCAGAAAATCAATTGAAATAAACTATTGAAGTAAACTGTTGGCCTATGTGTCATCCAGAAATACTGTTTTTTATCTTACCCGGAAACTTTTCATTGATAATGAAAATCACGCGACAATTTCGTTTTACAAGTAATTAACGCGTACCTGTAATCGGAGACCGCATTCTTATTACATGGTCTCTGCTGTTCTACAGTGATTGTTTTATTATCCAACATTTTCCCATTTCATAAAATTATGACACAGTTATGTGTATTTGAGAAATGTAGTTAAGAAAAAAACCCGGTTAACTTTTGCATATCGTTAGGGGAACTATCAGTACCCGAGAAGATCCCAACCTTGTATATTGTACGGACGCTTCACACATTTTGGATAACGGAATCGTTACAAATGACATGGAAGCTTGTATCCGTAAAGTGCGTATTCGTACACAGTGACTGATATCAGAGTTAACTGTTTGTGTTGCACAATGAATGTGTCAACTGGAAAGTGATAGTCACCAGGTTATTTTGTAAATCAACAGTCTAAGCATCTCTTTTGAGGTGAGTGAGTGAGTGAGTGAGGGAGCGAGCAAGCGAGCGAGCAAGCAAGTAAAAACAAGAACAATCAAGCAAACACCGAATGTTGAAGAAGCGCCCGTTGGACACTTATAATATCCAATATGTATGCAACATCTACAACATGAGAGGCGACGGGATAGCCTTGTGGTTAAAGTGTTGGCTCGTCACGCCGAAGACCCGGGTTCCATTCCCCACATGGGTACGCTGTGTGAAGCCCATTTCTGGCGTCCCCCCGCCATGATATTGCTGGAATATTGCTAAAAGCGGCGCAAAACTAACTCACTCACTCACCCCACCATCCAAAAGTAGACAGTTTATGAATTATGCCCCGGAATGGTATGATTTAAGGACTATGAGTGCATCTTTCTTTACGAGTGAGTGAGTGAGTGAGTGAGTATGTTATTAAGCCACTTTTAGCAATGTTTTAGCAATATCACGGCGGGGGACACCAGAAATGGGCTTCACACATCGTACCCATGTGGGGAATGGAACCCGAGACTTATGCGTGACAAGCGAACGCCTTGTTATTATCTCCCTTGGACCACAGATTCCGTTTTGGGTCTGATAAGATAACTCTGGATAGGTATAGGTTATAAGGTGTAAGGTAATGGGGGATATATCTCTGTATGTCCTTGGTGGTGTTATGTCTCTGGGGTGTGGTACACGTAAGCATGGTGAAGACACCCGGTGTTTTTATTTTACTGTGCAGAACTGCGTTTCTCTCAGCGTGTCAGAATTATGTTTCCATAGATATATTATACAATATCTACACGTTTCACCATTTGTAAAAGTCAGGGACTCCATGTTGTAACTAAGATACAATTCAAAGTGTCACTCTCAACTCACTCACTCACTCTGTTAACATCAAAATATGTCCTCTTGTTGTTTCCGTCAGTTTCGGAGTTTTATGTAAATATCGGTGACATTTGATTGATATATTTTGGCCTTGATTGGTTTTCAGCAGAACATGCTTGTCGTAAGAGGCGACTATCGGGTTCGGGCTACATGTCATCGTATCCCAATTGCATAGATCGATGCTCATGCTGTTGATCACTGATTTACAGACCACCGTCATATCGTGGGAATGTTGCTGATTTAGGCGTTACACAACAAACAAACTAGTTATAATTTGGATTCAAAAGACTGAAAAGAATATTGTTTGGTGAATGCATTATAATAAACAGGGACATATTCAATGGTTTGATCCCTGGATTGTCTGGTCCAGACTCGATTGTTTACAGACCAAGTCTCACAAGTGAAATACGACCAACTGCGGCATGAATTGTACAGAATTGCCAGAATTGTACAATCGACTCGAGATTTCTTCCGGATGTTGAAAACGTTTGGGCGATTGGTTCTTAAAGAAAAACATAATATGGTTAATAATTATTATATGTGCATCAAGTCATACTATGGGTGATCATTCGATTTGTTGTTTATTGAAGACACGGGGGTTATCAATTATCCAGCGTATAATATACCATTAAAAACAGTCAAGGAGGAAAGAGATGATGAAGAGAAATTAAGGGCAAATGTGACAATTTATTCCATTCCTTTGGAAATGTTTCATCTCTCTCCATATATATTACTTTTTCTCATATGCATTGGCATTGGCTAGTGGTATGCTCGCAAAATGGAATATCCCCTACTTTGTTTGAATGGTATATTTCCTTTACAATATGTATAGAGTAATGGAATGGAGATAAAGGATGGTAATCATTATGCTCAGAGGCAAGAAATAAAAAAATAAATGTTTGGTGTTTATTTGGGTAAAGTAATCTTTAAGTTCAACGAGGACTGACTGACTGACTGAGTTTGGTTTTACGCCGCTTTTAGCAATATTCCAGCAACATCACGGCGGGGGACACCAGAAATGGGCTTCACACATTGTGCCCATGTGGGGATTCGAACCCGGGTCTTCGGCGTGACGAGCCAACGAGTACAACGAGGAGAGTTCTGTGGATATACAACGTCTTTAAACAATATGAGAGACGTTTGTGTAGCTACTAACATCGTTATCGATCAAGTGATGTACAATTATTGGGAGGAAGCCAGTGATATGACAGACAGGAGAATAATGGGATTAAGATTGCTTGGTGATGAGTTGGTTGCAGGCAGTGGGAATGTAATATCCTTGTATATCCATAGAACACTCCTCGTTGTTCATCACACCAACATCTAAATGCCACTCAAACAAGTTAATCTTTAAGTACTCAAAAAGGCCAGTAGCTGTTTAAGGAAGTTCGTTTTGATATTGCTGGGTGAGGTACCTCAAGGGTCAAACCAGGAAGTCAGGATGTCAACGTGTTGGAATACTTTGTGTGATGGTTACCTTGTGTGGAGCTCTGACATTGTCTCTGTGTAATGATACGGAGACATCGTCTTTGTGTGATGGTTATACCTTGTGTGGAGCTCTGATATTGTCTCTGTGTAATGATACGGAGACATTGTCTTTGTGTGATTGTTATACCTTGTGTGGAGCTCTGATATTGTCTCTGTGTAATGATATGGAGACATTGTCTTTGTGTGATGGTTATACCTTGTGTGGAGCTCTGACATTATCTCTGTGTAATGATACGGAGACATTGTCTATGTGTTGTGTGGAGCTTATTGTGTCTGTTGTAATGATAGGAGCTCTGATATTGTGTCTGTGTAATGATACGGAGACATTGTCTTTGTGTGATGGTTATACCTTGTGTGGAGCTCTGATATTGTGTCTGTGTAATGATATGGAGACATTGTCTTTGTGTGATGGTTATACCTTGTGTGGAGCTCTGACATTATCTCTGTGTAATGATACGGAGACATTGTCTATGTGTGATGGTTATACCTTGTGTGGAGCTCTGATATTGTGTCTGGTGTAATGATACGGAGACATTGTGTGATGGTTTTACCTTGTGTGGAGCGTTGACATTGTCTCTGTGTAATGATACGGTGACATTGTCTTTGTGTGATGGTTATACCTTGTGTGGAGCTCTGACATTGTCTCTGTGTGATGATACGGTGACACTGTCTTTGTGTGATGGTTATACCTTGTGTGGAGCTCTGATATTGTCTCTGTGTAATGATAGGGAGACATTGTCTTTGTGTGATGGTTATACCTTGTGTGGAGCTCTGACATTGTATCTGTGTAATGATAGGGAGACATTGTCTTTGTGTGATGGTTATACCTTGTGTGGAGCTCTGACATTGTATCTGTGTAATGATAGGGAGACATTGTCTTTGTGTGATGGTTACCTTGTGTGGAGCTCTGGCACTCTCTCTGTAATGATACGGAGACATTGTCTTTGTGTGATGGTTATACCTTGTGTGGAGCTCTGACATTGTCTCTGTGTTATGATACGGAGACATTGTCTTTGCGTGATGATTACTGGAATATTGCTAAAAGCGGCGTAAAACTAAACTCAGTCAGTCAGTCTTTGTGTGATGGTTATACCTTGTGTGGAGCTCTGACATTGTCTCTGTGTAATGATATGGAGACATTGTCTTTGTGTGATGGTTATACCATGTGTGGAGCTCTGACATTGTCTCTGTGTAATGATATGGAGACATTGTCTTTGTGTGACGGTTATACCTTGTGTGGAGCTCTGGTTATACCTTGTATGGAGCTCTGACATTGTCTCTGTGTAATGATACGGAGACATTGTCTTTGTGTGATTGTTATACCTTGTGTGGAGCTCTGACATTGTCTCTGTGTAATGATATGGAGACATTGTCTTTGTGTGACGGTTATACCTTGTGTGGAGCTCTGGTTATACCTTGTATGGAGCTCTGACATTGTCTCTGTGTTATGATACGGAGACATTGTCTTTGCGTGATGATTGCTGGAATATTGCTAAAAGCGGCGTAAAACTAAACTCAGTCAGTCAGTCTTTGTGTGATGGTTATACCTTGTGTGGAGCTCTGACATTGTCTCTGTGTAATGATACGGAGACATTGTCTTTGTGTGATGGTTATACCTTGTGTGGAGCTCTGACATTGTGTCTGTGTAATGATACGGAGACATTGTCTTTGTGTGATGATTATACCTTGTGTGGAGCTCTGACATTGTCTCTGTGTTATGATACGGAGACATTGTCATTGTGTGATGGTTATACCGTGTGTGGAGCTCTGACATTGTCTCTGTGTAATAATACGGAGACATTGTCTTTGTGTGATGGTTACCTTGTGTGGAGCTCTGACATTGTCTTTGTGTGATGGTTATACCATGTGTGGAGCTCTGACATTGTGTCTGTGTAATGATACGGAGACATTGTCTTTGTGTGATGGTTACCTTGTGTGGAGCTCTGACATTG